TTTTTATTTTTTTTAAATCTTCTATTAATGCTTCTGTACTTTAATATTATATTTACTGTTTAAAAGAATTATAATCATAATTATGAATTAAAGATTTTATTAAACTATTTATATTTTTTTTATATGTAAACATAACAAATTTTTTATGATCTTTATTATTTTTGATGAATTCTAGAGCATTTTTAATAAGTTAGCTATCTCTTATGTTATAAGGATAATCATTTTCATCTAATAAATTAACAACATTTTATTTAACGCTATAAGCCTTACTATTACATTAAAAGCATCCAAATTAATTAACATTAGCTACATAATTTAATTGTTCATTAAATAAAAGAGCTCTTTATAAAAAATAAAATTAATAATTTATATTATAAAATAAATAATTACATATTTAAATATAAATATTAAAAATATTTATTTATATATATATTTATTATATATTTACTAAAAAATTTCTTTTTCTAACGGGTTTTTGTTATTTTAAATAATCATATTTATTTCATCTTCTAAAGTTTTTCCTGCTAGATATATAATAGATTTTTTTTATTTATCTCTTTAATATTAATAGTTTATAAAGTTTACTAAATGTTCAGGAACTAATTCTTTATTTTTTCCTTCTTTTACAATCTATAATTAATATTATTATTTGTATAAAAAATTAAAGTTTATCTTATTTTTTATATACCATATTTTCATTAATTTAATATTTTTTATTAATATATTATTCCACATAATAATCAAAAGTATTCTTATCTAAAACAGAAATTTCCGAAAGATTTTAAAATTATTAATTATTATATAATTATTTCCCAAAAATACCCATTTTTACTTTTTCATTATTTTATTTTGGTTATTATTATTATTTAATTTAATTTTATACAAAAGGTGGATAATCTAAAATAAAAGCTCTATTATCTTTATGGTTTTTTACAATTATTTCTTAAATTAAATGCTCATTAAATTTATTTATTTGATAAATAGTTAATATTTAATTTGTATTAAACTATACATAAAGCTTTTATTTTTCAAATTAATATAAAATATTTGGTACTTATGTTTTTATTCCATTATCTTCTATTAGTTTTTAAATATATTGATTACTGAAAATAATTTCTTATTATTTCATATTCTCTTTTGTCTTTATTTCATTTTCAAATGAAGCCTTAAAGTTTAATGGAATTATTTAATTAGATCTATAAAAAGCATATTCTATATCTTCTAAATCTTTAAGACTATACATTATTATATTTTAACGTATATATTAATTAAGCTATTATAGAATAGGTAGTTCATCTCCTTCTAAGTTTGAGCAAAGAGTTATTAATAGATTTTTAGCTAACTCTGGATTAATTTAATCTTGTAATTTTTTTGAAATTTATTCTTTATTTATATATTTATTTTAATTTACAATATTTTATAACAAAATAATATATTTACCTTTTAATTATAAAGCAAAATTAGGAGTGTTAATTTTATAAACATTATGTGTTTTTAATATTTAAGTATTTATTGAGGCACTCGAAATTTTGCAAGTTTTTATAAGATGATCTGAATTTTATTAAAATTATTATTTATAATGTAAAAATAATTATTTTTTGTCTGAGCACTAATAATTTTTAGCTGAAAATAAATATTTTTTTATATTTACTAACATTTTTAATATTTTATTATATTTTTAAACTAAATGAATATATATAAATTTGTATATTATAAATCAATATAATATATATATATATTTTTTTTTTTTTTCATATATTAATAAAAAATAAAATTAAAATTAAATATAAATAAAACATATAATATTATATATATTAATAAAAAAAAATCATTTGACTTAAAATAATATATTTCATTTTAAATAATTAATATAAGGTTAACAATTTAAATCTGTAATTTATAGTGATTATTTATCTGTTTGAAATTTAAATTGATTGTCAAACGGAATAAAAAACTCTTTTATTTTAATACTTTAATATGTATCTTTTAATACATAAACTTGATTACTTTCATCTGAAAAATCATCGTAAAATGCTTTTAAGGCTTCTAAGTAACTTTTTCGATGAAGATATATTTAATTTATATATTATTATATCAATTATTTATTTTTAGCTTCAATAGCTGTTTGTAAACCTTTAAACTAATTTGCTATCGAATGAATACAATAAGTTAAAGCTTAACCTTTTAGAGTATGGGCCCATCTTCTGAATTCACTCCAAAAAATATCGTTTTATTCTTATTAGTTCTAATAGATTTAATAATAATCAAATAAGTTTTATAAATTTATTTTAGATTCATTATATGCTGATCTAGCAAGATCGTAAAAACCTTATAAGCAATCTTCAAATCCTTCATATTATTTATAAATTTCATCAAAATCAACAATTTTTTATCGATCTTTTTTAATTTTTTCCATTTTTATTTATAATTATATTAATTATTACTTATATAGTAATAAAATATATTATAATTTTGAAAAAAAAAAAAATATTTATTTAATAATATAAAAAATAAATAAATTATATAAATAATTAAATCAAATTTTATTATACAATTAAATATATATAATTTATATTTTCATTTATTTCTAATAGCTTCTAATTATTCATTAAAAATTTACTATTTCTATTCTTCACTCCATTTAAATTCTTCAGCAAAAATATCACAAACATCTTTCAAAATTTAAAAAGAAGCCTTATTATCTATAATCCCCACCCTCAACCTTCTCAAAACAGTATCTGAAGGATACACAACCATTTCATTTCTAATTTAATATAAAATTTCTGCCCTAAAAAACTCAAAATCTTTATTTAATTTCTCCATTTGACCTAAATTCCCCTCTTAATATTGATTTTCTACCAAATTCATAATATGAAAAGCCCTTAATCCATAAGTTGTAAATAAATATTTAGCTAAAGATTTTTTTATACCATATTAAGAAATTAATAAATTAACATAAGTATTTACATATAATTTTTTATCCCTAAAAAAATCTCCTTTATTATTATTTTTATTAGGTTCTCCTAACAACTTAATATTTATTGTATTTGAAAGTTTGTCTTTTTTAATTAAATCCAGTGTTTTTTCTGCAATTAACCTATATTATGTCCAATTTCCTCCGAAAAGAGAAACTAAACCTTTTCGTGACACTTCGATTTCGAAAAAATCATTTCCTATATTTCCATTATTTTATAAAATAGAATGCCTAAAATCAGAAAACGAAGAATTTAAACTTTAAAAAATATTATATTTTTAACCTAATTTAGGTTGTAAAAAATTCAATTATTTGAATAAAAAAGTTGTTTCTTCAATATCTTTATTCTCCATCATTATAGGCGAAAAATACTAATTTTTAACATCCTCAGTAGCCCCTAGTATAGCCCTTTATTTAAACGGAAGGAAATAAATAAGCCTATCTTCAGAATTGAATATTAAACCAAGTTTTTTATTGGTAAAAGTTAATGGAAATGATAAATGAACCTATTTTTTGGACTAAAAGAGTATTTTTTTTAAATATTTTTATCTTTTTACATTTCTCGTATTTAATCAGAGTAATATCCTGTACAATTAATGACATTCTACCCTTATATATTATATATTTTTCCTTAGACTTTATCTTAAAACGAAACTCCTTTAATTTAATCATTTTCTAAAATAAGATTTTAAACTTCCGCGTAATTCAAAATATTTCCGTTTTGGAAATTTTATTAATACAAATCCAATGTACCAGTCAATAAAGTGTCCAAAACCATTCTAGAATCATCAAAAAGGCCATCATCTTAATATTTTACTCCAAATTTATATTTTTGAGTATCTATTTCTGGAAAAAGTTACTATATTTATTAAGAAAAAATTAATTACGGAGTTTTATTATTAGTATATGTATTATTATTATGGTTTTTTTAATATAAAAATTTACTATAAAAATGATATATTAAGCATATAATATAGGATTATATTCCTTCTAATAAACTTTTGTTTAAAATTAAAATCGGTAAATGAGAATTCATGTAATATGCGCGTTCTATAAAAGAATTTTTCTCAGTAATATTTTCTTTTATTTACTATATGTAGGAGTCTGTTTGGTCTTTATAATTCCAGGAAAGTAAGTTTCGAATGTTATGAATTCCGCCGTTTATTACTTTTGTACTTTTAGAACTTAATCCGCTAGAGAAATCATCCTTTTCTAATAATAGGCATTTTAAGTTACGAGCGCAACCTTCTAAAAATACACCGGAGCCCATACAACCGCCTCCAATTATTATTAAATCGTATTTCGGAGTGTTTTAAATATCTAAGAGGTGGTCCTGACGGGTTTTAAGAGTGTATTTGGGAATTTAGGTGTTGAAAGGTATTTATGTATGTTTTTTTCTAGATTTTATTTTGGTTTAATAGTAAAAAGTGGAGGCTATTAATGGAATTGCAATTAATTTGAGTTTGTAAGTTTTTAGAAATTAGTTCATTTTTAAAAAAATTATTAAAATTATTTATATATTGCTCAGAATTTTTTATATCTATAGAAATAAAGATAAAAAATTATTTATAATTAATTTTTTTTTATAAAGATTAAAAAAAGTATAATAATATATAAAAAAAAGATAAATATTTTAAGAAATTAATAATTAATATATTTATGTTAAGTAAATTCTTTTTATTTTTTGTTAAATTAGTTTTAATTTAAAATTCTAAAAAAATTATTCAAATAATATATTTTTATTAAAATCTCAAATTTTTTTTAAAAAAATTATTATAATAAGAATAAAAATAATTTTAGTTATTTTTTTATTTTTCTATTAAAAAAGTAATATATTTAAATCAAAAAAAAATATATATATAAAAAATATTAATTTTAAATTAAATATTTTTTAAAAAAACACATAACAAACATAAAAATAATGACAGAAATAAACATATAATAGTATTATTAAATTCCCCACCAAAACCAATAAAACGCCCAACAATACCCTTAAAATCTTCCCCCAAACGGCCCTAGCGTAGTAATGAATACTACTCCAGAATTTATATATAATCCATTACCCCCATCTCCTTATAATGTTTTATGGGCTCAAAATAAGGACATAAAAACTGACGATACAACACCTTATATGATTCCAGCTTCAGTAAATCCTAAGAAAAGTTCAGTAACAATATGTATTGATGATTCTAATGAAATGATAAATCTATAGGCTTAAAGAATTGCTATGTTAGAAGAAAGATGCGATTTATTAACTAAATAATATTAAAGATATTATTCTGGTTTAAAAAATAAAGACGATGAGTTAAAGCATTGGAAAAATAGATGCGATTTATTATAAAGTCATTTAAAAGTACCTTATACGAGAATTGAGGAACTTTAAAGTTAAAAAAATGAAGTTAAAAAAGATTAAATTAGAATGGTGTAGATTTTAAAAAATGCAGAAAGTGAATTGGAAAATTTAATTAAACTTTCAGATTAAAAAGAAAAAGATATTGCTTTTTGGAAAGAAAGAGCGAAAAAAGCAGAAAAAACTTAAACTATTATTATGTCTTTGGAACATAGGATTAGGATCTTGGGTTAAGAAAATAATAGATTAAATAGCTTAATTACAGAAGGTTCTAGGTATAAACCACCTTAACCTTTTAATTTTTGGTAGTAATAATGATGGAATTTATATTTTTTTATTTATATATATAAATAGTTATATTTTTTTTTAAGCAGTTTTTTTTTATTGAGTCTTTTAAAATATTTTGTATTATTATTATATAAAAAATTTATATTGTTTGTATATTTTTTTATTTATTATTTTCGATTTAATTTTTTTCTTTTTAATACATAAATAATTAGTTATTTATATAAAATTTATTTTTTAAAAAAAAAAAAAAATTTTAAAGTTATATTTTGTATTTAATATTTGATTTTGATTTTTTTATAATTATGTTTGAAAGTTTTTTTATTTTTTATATATAATTATGTAATTTATACGTTTAAAATATTTTTTTTTGAATTTGATTAATAAATATTAATTTCTTTTCATTTTTAGTATTAAATTTTTATTATATTTTTGAATATGTAAGTAAATATCTAAGAATCTCAATAAATTACGGTTCCCAATTCATAAAGATATAAATTCTCAATATTCTCCCACAAGTATCGAAGTAAGATCATATGCTGAATTTTTAGGAATTAATTTAAATGAAGATAAATATTTTTTTATATTGCAAGGGAAGTACTTAAAGTTCGTTTACTATATCATTAGAAGTCACTTTAAAACTCGGAAGAAAATATATATTATTAGAGTGATTAACATATATATAAAAGACTTTTTAAAATCTTTGTGATTAGTAATATAAAAATGAGTATTTGAAAGTGAAATAAAAATATTAAAGTGTTCCGATAAAAGAATATATTTTTTAATAATTAAATAAATTATGATTTTTAAGAAGAATGATATTAGTTTATAATAGAGAAATCGAGATATATTAAACTTAAAAAAAAATTAGAAGTAAATTGTTTATTAATAAAGAAATTTATAATTATAAAAATCTACTTAATGAAATTAAAAAAAAAATGGTGAGATATAATTTATAATTGAAAATTCAATAAAATTAATAATTAAATAAATAAAAAAAAATGGTGTAAATTTAAGAATTCTATATAAAAATGTAATTAGAAAAATAAATAAATTAATAATGGTAATAAAGTTAATAAAATAAATTAATAATGGTAATAAAGTTAATAAATTAAGTTTGATTATTTATTTAATTTAAGAAAAATAAAATTTTAATTGATTAAATGCTAATTTTAATTTATTTATTCAAAAAAGAAAAATAATAATTTTTATAATTAGAAATAAAACAAATAAAGGGAATAATAGTAATAAATGTTTAAGAAAAATAAAAGTTATTTTAAAGAAAATATAAATAAAAAATTAAATGTAAGTTCTGAGTTTGCTTGAAATAATATTTTTAACAATAAAAAAAGAAAATATATGATTATTATATATATAAATATATGTTCTTAAAAATATATGAATAAAAATTAATATTCAGAATATTGAAAAAAAAAGAGAAATTTTAATCAGTTTAGTAATAAAATGTTTAGAAAAATTAAATTGAAATTGATGAAATTATATGTTTAATATAAAATAAGATGAAATCAGTGTTTTAAAATAACAAAAAAATTCAATACATTTATTTTTAAAAAATTTTAGAATGTTGGTACTATTTAATTTATTGAAATATTTTTTTTTTTTATATAAATAATTTAAGATAATTAAAAATAAATTAAAATAATAGAAAAAAAATATTAAAGTATTAAATAGACATAAATTATATTATAATTGAAAATAAAAATTTTTATAATTTTATTAAATATATAATAAATATATTAATATTTTAGTAAAATAATAATAATAATTAGAAATCTAATTATAATAATAATTATAAGAAAATAAAGAATATAAAAATTAATAATATTATGAATAATATGATATGCATTAATTAGATTAAAAGTAAATTATATTTAAAATTATAATCACTTAATTCGTATAAACTAACCTTAATACATTAAAATAAATAAATTTAAAAATGCAGATGAAAGTATATAAATTGTTGTAAAAAAAGAAATAAAATTATTTAATAATAAATAAAAAATAAAAATAAAAAGAAATAGTATAAATTAATAAAAAAATTCATTATTGTGTAAATATAAAATTAAATATTAAAAATAAATATATAACTACAACAATAAATTAAAAATTAAAAAAATACATAAAAAAAAACATAAAAATAAAAGTAATACAAATGAAGATAATTTAATTATATATAATTATTTATATAGTTGATTATAAATTTGATAAAAATAATAAATATAAATTAAAAATATATTAAAAAAAAAAAAAAAAATATTTAAATAATATTAATCTAAAAATAAAAAAAAATATATATAAAGATATAAAAAAATATATATAAATTAAATAAATAAAAAATATAAAAATATATATTTTTATATATATATATAAATTATATATTTATATATTTATATATTTATATTTTTATATATATTCATATTTTTATTTATGTATATATTTTACATTTTTGTTAGATATATATAATATCTTATTTTAAGATATAAAGTAAAAAATAATAGATTATTAAATATTTATTAATAAAATTTTTCTTTTTTTTTATTATTCATTTTTTTTTTATAATAAAAATATGAATTACTATTTAACATAAAATATAGATAATTTTTAAGAGAAGTTAATTTTTTTTTATCTTTGCTTATATTTTATTTTTTAAAGATAATTATAAATAAAATATTATAAATTTAGTTTTAATAATATTACATAAAATTATTTTAATATAAATAATTTTCAATTATTTAATAATTGTAATAATTTTAAATTATTTAAAAGCATATTTTAATTTCATATTTTTTTTATTTTTATATTTTATTGTATAAATAAGATGATTTAAAAGTAAATAATAATAAAATTTATATAAAAAAAAATAATTATTATTATTATTATTATTATTATTATTATTATTATTATTATTTATATTATTATTATTTAATATATTTTCTTTCTTTATTTTATATATTTATATATTTTTATTTTATATTTTATATATTTATATATATTTTGTTTTAATTATATATTTTTAACTTTTTTATTTATATTTATATATTTTATTTTATTTTAATATAAAATTTACTTTATTATTTTTTTTATTATTATATATTTTTTATAATTTTAATTATCATTTATTTATTAAAAATTAATATAATTTTTCTTATTTTACTTATTAAATTATATTTTTTAAAAAAATATTAAATTATTTTTCTTTTCAATTTATTATTCAAATTTATTTTATAAGCTTTTTTTAATAATATTTTTAATTATTTCACATCATAAATATTAATTTTCATTTATTTTTATTAGAAACTATATAAAATAATTAAAATATTTTAAAAAAACAAATATAAACATTATAAAAATAAACTAATAAAATTACTTTTAATATTTATTTTTTTATTTAAATAGTTAAATTATTTATAATGATTGCATTTAAAATTTTAATTATTTCTTCAAAAATATTTTTTTTTTAATATAAACTAAATTATTTAACACAATAATCAATAAAAAAATGTGAAGATTTATACTCTGAAAAAACTAAAAACTATTTTTATTTACATTTTTTCTTTTATTAATTTTTTGTTTTATTTTTTTCCAAAATAACTATTATAGATAACCTATTTATAATAATAGAACAAAAAAATAAAAAGTATTGAAATAAATATTAGTAATATTCATTTTTATATAGTGTAGTTTTATGGATTTTTTCGTCTATTTCTTTTATGTTTTTAATTTATTACCTTATTTTTTCATTAAAGCAGTATTATTTTATATTTAAAGTAAAAAAGAAATATTTAATTTATTAAAAATAATTAAAATTATTGTATTCTTATTTAGAATTTATGATAATTTTTTGAATATATCATATGTTTTATTATAAAAAGATATTTTTTAAAAACTAAAAAGACTATATAAGTCTTTTTTTGAAGTAAAATTTATAATAAATAGGTATTTAGAAGTTTATTATTGGTTTTCGATTTTTGATTTAAATTTTAGATAAATTTCTTTCTTATATTTTTTAATTTTTTAATTATTTTAACTGAATTTTTATAAATATTTTTTATTAAAAAATAAATAAATATATATATGTAATATATATTTATTTATTATTTAATATAAAAAATAAATAAATATTTTTTTATTCATATTACTTATCTTTTATATGATTTTATATATAATTTAAAATAAATAAAAAAAATATTATTTAAATTCTTTAATTATAATTATTTTTAATTTTTTATTATTTATACTATTTTTTTAATTATTATTTTATTTTTATATTTTATTTTTTTGAAAAATATTTATTTATTTTAATAAAATATTTTTTTAAATTATACATTATAGTATATAAATAAAATTTTAAATATTTTAATAAACGATATTAAAATGTCAAATTCATAAGAAAAATCATCATAATAAATATAATTATTATATTTAAATGTTAAGAATTAACTTCAATAAAATAATTATTAGTAAGCTGTAATTTTATTTATTATATTACTAAAATAAGAATAAGCTATTTTTATTCAAATAAAAATATTAATATGTTTCATTTTTTTATTTTAAACCAGATAGAGTTGATAAATTAAATATTTGAAATTGATAAAAATTAAATTTAAGCTTTGAATTTATTATTTTATTCTTAGAAAATGTTAATATAGTAAAATTAAAATAACAAAGATTAAAATTAAGATTATTCAAAATGTATAAATATCTTGGATTAAGCATTATAGGTTATTTAAAAATAATTTAAAATATTAATATAATATAATAAAAAATAATAAATAATTATAAAAAATAAGTTTTTAATTATTATAAATATACATTATAATATATAAATTTATAGATAGATCAAAATAATTTGCTTACATTATTTCATTTTGGTATATTTTACTAAGAATAAAAAAATTATGAAAAAGCAATAAAATTTTATGAAAAAATAATAAAAATAAATGAAGAAGACACTAAAGGAATATTTAATTTGGCTATTTGTTATGAAAATCTGAATTAAATAGATTAGTCTATAAAATATTATGAAAAAGTAAAATAAATTATTATATAAATTAATAATAATAAAATAAGCTATTAAAATGTAATCCATTTTTTTCAAAAGCAGTTATTAATTTATCAAATCTTTTGATTTAATAAAAAAAGATTTCAAAAGCAAAAATTATTTTAGAAAAATATTTATTAAACGCCCCTTATGATGAAAAAGCAGCGAATAACTATAATATTGTTTTAACCTAAATAAATAATTAAAATTTATAAAATAATAATAATTTATAATATAATTTTGAAAAAATACTTAGATAAACTAATCCTAATCCTTTAACTTTTTATAATTATGCAATTTTTTTATTCAAATAAGAAAAATTAAGTCTATCATTGGTAGTTTTTTAATAAATTACTTAAATGAAAATAGATTTTGATAATCCTTTATTTATATTAGCTTATATAAATATTAGCATAATATATGAAAAATAAAAAGAATTTTAAAAGGCATAAACTATATTAACTAAAGTAATTTATTTTTTTAATAAATTATTTATAAAAACAGGTTTTAGACAAATTCAATTTAATTCTAAACATAAATTAAAAATTAAAAATATAAGAAAAAATGAACATATTAAATTAATACATTAATTAAGAATAAATAATAAATAATTAAAGTGTAAATTATAATAATATTTAGCCTTAAATAATTTTGAATTCAGGAAGAATAATATAGTCTATTTCTAAAAACAATTAATAAATATAAGACTCTTATTAAAAGTTAAATAATAACAATAATCTAAACATTTTGAATTACACAACTCTTTCTTCTTAAAATTTTAATAAAAATTAAATATAATTATAAAGTCCTATAATAAACAATAATTAACAACAAAAAAAATCCTTATATTTTAATCATAAATAAATATAAAGTACTAAATTATAAGAATTAATTTCTCTAAACACAAAAAGTACTTAAAATACAAAACCAAAAAATCTTACTTTATCAATAAATGGACCAGTTTTTATTAATAAAAATGAATTTTTATCTTGTACTTCAAGGAAAATTTAAAAAAAATATTTTTTTCTAGTTCTTTAATGATAAAATCTGATAGAAGAAGTTATTAACCTATTATTTAAAAACAACTATAAAAAGTATAAAAGTAATAGTAAGTATAATAATACTAAATAAAATAGAAAAAATAATAATTCGATGTTTTTAAAAAAAAGGAAATCTAAACTTAATTCAAAGAATAATAATAAGAATAGAAACAAACAAAAAAATAAAAAACTATATTGGAAAAAGAAAACAGATAAATAGAAGAAAAAAAAGAATTAATTTTAGAAGACTTTTAAAGGATAAAGGAAAAAAATTCTGTATAAAAATCGTCAGAAAAAAAACAATAAAATAAATTTTCCGAAGTTATATAAATAAATAATAATTTAAAAAAAAAAAAATCTATAGAAATAATAGATAAATAATAATAAAAATAAATTTAAGAAAAAGTTCAAATAGAAACTTAAGAATGCTTAAAATCTTAGAAAGAAACTAAAGAAAATCAAGATATAAACGAAGTATTTTAATAGGGCTTATAATATTTAAAAAAAAAAGATTATTTGAATTCAGAAAAATAGTTTTAATAAATTTTAAGTAACAATATTATATTTTAATTTTATAAAATAAAAATAAACAACTACTATTTAAAAATTAAAAAAAAAAAGAAAATGATCCTAAAAATATTCCAGCCTTAATTTAATATGGAATAGTATTATAACAACAATAAAATTTCGATAAAGCTATAATTAAATTTAAAGAAGCTTTAAATATAGATGAGAAAAATCCTTAAGCAAATTTGAGAATCGGAATCTTATATTAAACTAAATTGAACGATTTAGAAAACGGGATGTTCTATATAAAAAAATGCTTAGAATAAAATTAAGAAATAGCCAAAGCCCATTATTATTATGGTATAGGCTTATTCGAAAAAAAAGAATATAATTAAGCTATATAAGTTCTAAAAGAATGCTTGAAATTAGACTCTAAATATGTACCGGTTTTTAAGGCTATAGCAAGTGTTTATTATGAAAATAATGAGGAATAGCAAGCTTTGAAATATTTTATGAAAGCTTTAGAATTTGAACCTAATAATTTAGAAGTAAAACTTAATTTGGCAAATTGCTTTTATTTATTGGAAAACTATGAGCTGGCTATTTAATATTATAAATAAATTATTGCATCTAGTTCTTAGAATATTGATGATATTCATTATAATTTAGGTAATTGTTTTTATAAAAAAGGGGATGTTGATTAATCTATTATTCATTATAAAAATGCTTTAGAAATAAAATAATAGAAACCCGATTGCTTATATAATTTAGGTTATTTTTTTTTAAATAATTATACTATTTTTATATATATCTAATTTTTTTTATATTAAGGAAATGCTTATTGTATAAAATAAAACTACGAGAAAGCTTAAAAGTGCTTTTAAAAAGCTATAAAATTTGATCCTTAGAATTCTTCAGCTATTTATAATTTAGCAAATACTTATTATGTGTTAGGAAATAGTGAATAAGCAGCAAAATAATTTGAAATAGCTTTAAAATTAGAATAGAATAATGCTGACTGGTTTAATTATGTTGGAGGATTATATTTTGAATTAAATGATTTAGAAAATTGTAAAAAACATTTAGAAAAATCTTTTTAATTAAATGATAAAAATTATGATACAGTATATAAATTGGCACGTGTTAATTTTTCTTTAAAAAATTATTAAACAGCCATTTCTTATTTAAAGGTAATATATATATTAAATTGTAATATCGAAATTTTGTAAAATTAAAAATAATATTTTTTTTTTTAGCTTATTATTAATTATATATATTTAAAAAATATATATATATATATTTTTTTTTGTATATTTAATTTTCTTTTATTATTAATTTTTCATTTTTATTATTTTAGATTATATAAAATATTTATCCTTAAAATAACGAAATAACAAGTTTGTACTGCTAATTATAGCAAATGTTAAATGATAATTAATGATTTTTTTTTTTCAAAATAAGATATAAATATTATTTATTTTAAATTTGTCATTAACTATATTTTTAAAATAATATTATATGTTTGTATTTTTTATTATTTTCAATTCATTTTTTTAAAATTATTTGGTATGGTATGCATTTAATTGTATAAGATTAAAATTCATGCATTTAGATAATATGGAAATTATTTAGATATTTGAATATGGCTAATAATTTTTTAATTATATCTTATAATATGATTTTATTTGTTAACTTAGAGAAATATATTTATCTATTACTTAAAATATTTTTTATATTTTAATATATATTTAACTCATTAATTAAAATAAAAATGTAATAGAAAAAAATAAATATATAATTCAATAAATTTTAAAAATATTCAATGAAAATAAAAATACTTTTAGAAAAAAAAAAGTTAAAAAAAAGAAGTTAATATTTATTTATTAAAAAAAAAAAAAAATATGTAATTAGCATTAATTGTAAATGTAGTATATAATTTTAGTGCATAAATATAAAATGTAAATGTTTTTATAAAATTTTATATAAATTTAAATTTTATATATAATAATTTCTAATTATATTATTTATAATCAAAATATTAAATTATTTTTAATTATATTGCATTTTTATTTATTTTTAAATAAATTTTATATTTTATAATTAAAAAAATCTAATTATATATATTATAATAACAAATTTTTAAACACAATAATATTTTAATTATGTATTTATTATATTATTATTTTTTTTAATTAAAATATAAAATTATTTAATAATCTTTTATAAATCTTTGAAATATATCCATCTTTTTCTTTATTTTTATAAATATGAAAATTTCACATAAACTAATGAACAATTTAATAATAGCAAATGATAATAATTTACTTAGGAATAAGAAAAACAATTTTTAATATATAAAATTTATTTAAAAAAAACAAAAAAATTCTATATAATATATAAAACTATAATTTAAAATACAATTTTTTTTTTTAAATATAATTTTTTTTTTGTAAGATTTAATAATTTTAATAAGATTATAATAATAAAATATCATGAACAATATGTAATAATATTAAAATGAATTATAATAAATAGCATTTCCAAATTTGTGAAATTTATAAATAAAAAATATGAATATTAAATGCATTAAATATGCTACATTTTCTATAAGATTAATAAAAATATCCTCTATACATTCTTAAATTTTAAGATCCCTTAAATAAAACTTATTAATACAGTTTACGAAACATTTTATTTATAATCTCAATTTAGATCTAAAGTATTTTTAGTTTTATTTGAAAAATTAGAAAAAATTTGAAATTATATTAGACTTGATAAAAATTAAAATATATATTAAGTTTCTTGGCCTGACTATTGTAAAATATCATTAAAAATTAATTATTTTTTAATTTTAAACTTCTTTTGATAAACTACAAATCAATTAAAAAATGTAAAGATGATAAAATTATAATATAATGAAATTTACTATAATAAATTAGCATAATTTAAAAGTGATATTGCTTCTACTCTGGAAGAAAAATAATAATTTAGAATTTAAAAATTCCAAGCATATGTTACTGAAGTTTATTTGACTCAAAACTTTCGTGTAATTAACTTATATAGAAGATTAAAAAGTATGGTAATTATTAAAATAAAAACGAATAAAAATAATAAATTATTTATTTTTTAAACAATGATAAATAGTGGTAAGATATTGTTTTTGATAAATTTAAAGTCCTTATTTTATGTAATTTTAGTTTTCCAAATATAGAAACACCTTTCAATAGTAAATTCTGTAAATATTTTTCGCTAGAAAATTATGTCGTTATAATGCAAAACAATCGACCAAAGAATTGGGTTTATTCTTTCTGTAAGTGAAGTTGATCTTAGTTAGTTATCTAAAAATAAATATATTTGTTAAAATTTATTAGCAAAGTTTAAATATTAGACCTTATAGATCTTAAAGAATTAGAATTAGAATTTAATAATTAAGGAAATTGTTAAAACTTAAATTAAATTTAATAAAAATAATCAAATAAAGAAAACAAAGTCTAAATTATATCTGATGAACTTTAGATTGATTTTAGCCTTTTTTAATAAAATAATTAAAAAATATAGGAAAACCCAAATACTTATATAAATAATAGACTACTAGACTACTGAATTTTAATAATATAATTAAGATATCAAAAACATAAATATTTTTTAATAAATAAGTAAAAAACTTTCATAAGAAAATTTATAAATTAATAAAAAACTGAAAACAAAGAAAATTAGTAAAATATCATCTTAAGAAAATTTATAAATAAATAAAATAGATTCTTTAGTAAATTAGCAATCGAATTCTTAATAAAATATTTAAATGAATAACAAAAATTTCTTAAGAAAATATTTAAATAGATAAAATAAAATTCAAGGAGAGTTTCAAATAAATAAGAATTGATCTTAACAAAATAATAAAATAAGTAATAATCTTTCTTATGAAAATTTATAAATAATATTAACTTTAGAATCAATAAAAAATATTTGCAAAGGAAAGTTGTTGACAATATCAATTTAGATAATTTAATTAATAATCATATTTTTTTTAAAAAAAGGTTATAGTTAGTTATAAAACAATTATTTTAATTCAGAAAAGTATTCCTTAAATTATAATTTTTATTAATATGAAAATATAAAATTTTATTTACAAAAAATATTCATATAAAGAAATAAATAACTAGTAATAAAATTAAGATTAAAAATCAAATAACAGCTATTTTAGATGAAATAATATAAAGGAAAATAGTAAAAATGAATGTTTAAAAAAGATTGGATTAATAAAAATAAGATAATAATTATTAATTAAATAAAAGTTAAATATAATTTATTAAATATCAATTGAATTTAAATATTGAAAATAGAGATAATATCCAATTATAAAATAAATTAAAGTTAAAAGGACAAATAATTATTTTACTTTAAAAAAAGAATATCTTTGCAAAAAGTAATTTTTTTATATTTTTAATTAAACATTTTATTAATTAATAATTAATAGTGATATAAAAGTTAATAAAGGAGAAGAAATTATTCAAATAAATAAATATTTATTACTTAAAATATTTAAAATAATATCTGATTTAATCATTATCAGTTATAAAATGAAAAAATAATTAATGAATAATAATAATAATAATAATAATAAAAAAATATATATATTAAAATATATATTTTAATTAAATTTTTTATGATATTAAAAAATATTACATTCTTATTAAATTTTAATTAAAAAAATTATTTTTAAATATTTATTTATTATTTAAAAAAAATAAAAAAAATAAACCTAAAAAATAAAATAAAATATAATTAAAAATTTTATTATTTTAATTATTTCTTTAATTTTAAGTTTTAAATTTATCTATGTCTTATTAAAATAACAAAGGTAAAGGTAATTTTCATTTATTAAAAAATTAATTTTCAAAGAATTTGAAAAATAATACACCAGCGAATAATAATATCATAAATTATTTAATGATGCCAAAGAAAATATTCTCAATAATAATTATGAAGCGACAGTTAAATATATTATTTAAAATAATATTTTTATTAATACATATTTAAAAAAAGGAATAAATTTTATAAGAATTACTAAAGTTAGAAGTTAATAATATTGAGTCTTTAAACTTATTAGCATATACACGGAAATAAATAATTTTGAAAAATAAAGAACAAAATAATATAGAAGAAAAATTAGAACAATGTTCATAAATTTTATAAGAAGCATTAAAGGTTTTATTTTTTTTATAAGAAAATTCTAAAATACAGAATAAAAAAATGATTTTAATTTAAAAAAAAAAAAAGTTGGATAAAACAAATTAATTAACTTTGTTTAATATAGGAACATTTTATTATGAAATAAAATAATATGATAAAGCAATATCTTATTATGAATAATGTTATAAGAATAATATTTAAGATACAAGAATATATTTCAATTTAGCAATATCTTATGAAAAGCAAAATTAATATGAAAACGCTTTGTAAAATTATGAAAAAGTATAATTTATTAAATTTAAAATAAATGAAATCAATATAAAAAAAAAAATATTAAATTTAAATAATATAAAATTTCATTATATTTGTTTTTATTTTACATATATATTTATTTTATTTATTATTATTTTTTTAAAAAAATAAATAAATATATATCATCTGTATTTATAAATATTTTTTAAAGGCCATAAAAATAAATCCTTATTTTTCTGGAGCAATAATAAATTATACTAATTTATTAACAAAATGTCAAAAAGTTACTTAAGCAAAAGCTATATTAGAAGAATATTTAAAAAATGCACCTTTTGATGAAAAAGCAGCAAATAATTTAAGTATAATTTTATCTGAAAGAAACTAATAAAAAAAAGCTTAAGAAAATTTTTAAAAAATGCTTAGATAACCAAATCCTAATCCATTAACAATTTATAATAATGGTATTTTTTTATATAAACAGGAGAATTATTAATAATCTCTTGAAACATTTTATAAATTTATCGAACTTAAATTATAAATTGATGATCCTTTATTATAATTAGCATACATAAATATTGCCTTAATATATTAATAATTAAAATAATATGATAAAGCTATAGATACATATAATTAAGTGAATTTTTAATATTTATATTTATAATTTTTTATTTTTTTTAGATGTTTTAAAAATTTAATTAAGTTCTTAAAAATAAAGAAGAGATAAAAAATAAAATAAAAAGTTTAAATGAATTATTAAAATTATAAGAAAAATAAAATGGTTATTAGGTTTTGAATACAGAAAAAGATTTTTATTAAACAAAAAATAAATTCGTATTGAAAAATTTGAATAATTTATAAACGAAAAAAATGAATAGATTTTTAGAAAAACGTAATAATTAAAAAAGCTTAAATAAACAAAATGAAGAATAATAAAGTTTATAGTAAACATTAAAAAATTAATAAATATAAAAATTAATTAAAAATAATTACACTTAAAACTTTTAGCCTGATTAATAATTTGATATTTAAGACAAACCCGAAAATTTATAAATAAACAAATAAAGGTTATCTTCTAATATGTAAGAGAGTGTTAATGATTAAAAATTTTTAACTTAAAAATAATTTAGTAGTTAAAAAAAAGATGATTAGAAAGTTTTCTTAAAAGATTTGGAAAAAAAAACTCTAAAATATTAAATGGGGAATAAATAAAATATTATTTATTAAAAAAATAATAATAATTATAATTAGTTTAATCATTATAGTTAAACTATAAACATAAACGAATAAAATTAAGAAATTTACAAAAATGATTAATTTAAAGAAGAATTTCATTTAATGCAAAATAAAAATATATTTTAAAATGATAATAAAAAAAGTTTTTATATTTATAAAAATTAACATGAAAATATTAGTTATTTGGATATATAGAAACATGACAGAAATTAAAATATAAATAAAGATTAAAAATATCATTAAATATTAAAATAATAAAAATAAACAGAAAATTAATAACCAAAAAAATAAACACTTTCAAATATTTAAGAAAATTAAAAATTAAAATAATAATAAGAATATAAATAATAACAAGTATAAAATTTATAAAAACAAGAATATAAATAATAATAATTATAACAAGAATAAAAATATCAATTAGAATATATATAGAAATAAAAATAACATTATGAATAAAAATAATAACACGAATAAAAATAATAATAGGAACAAAAACTATAATAAGATTAATAGTAATAATAAAATCAATAAAAAATATAATAGTTAGAATAAAAATAACTTTTAGAATAAAATTAATAATAAGAATACAAAAAATAGTAAGAATTTCAAAAAAAATAAGAATAATAATAACATTAGAATCAAACATTATTATAAGAGTAAAAATAGTAATAAGATAGCTCTTAAAAATTAATTTAAGAATAAAAAATGGATGTTGATTCTTAATTAGAGAAGGAAGATTAAATGTAACAAGCTAATAAAAAAAACAAGGAATTATTTTAAACAGATTAAGATCCTTTATAAAACTAAGTTTAAATTTAATAAATAAAAAAAATAAGTTTCGATTAAACTTAAGAAGTAAATAATAAAGATGATGTTTAAACTAAAAAAAAAATGGAGCAAAATTATTAAATTTTCATATAAAAAGATGAAAATTAACAAGAGAAAATACAATAGAATATTAATGAATAAAGCTAAGATTAAAATAATTAATAATAAAATGATTAAAAAGTAAAATAAAATAGTTTGGTCTAGACGAAAGATTAAGATAATTAAATTAATAAAGATAAATTAAAAAATTCTGAATAATAAAATATTGAAATCACATAAAATTAATAAAGATAATAAGAAAATATTTAATAAAAAGTTGTGAAAAATTAAAATAAATAATAACAAAATTAATAAAGTCCAAAATAATAACTATAAACTATTAAATAAGATGAACAAAGCCCTAAAAAATTAGACTAGGTAATTAAAAAAAATAATGAAATTTCGAATAAAGAAGAATAAGCACTCATAAAAGATTAATAAGAATAAGTTCTCATAAAAAATTAATAAGAATAAGTACTCATAAAAAATTAATAAGAATAAGCACTCATAAAAGATTAATAAGAATAAGTTCTCATAAAAGATTAATAAGAATAAGCACTCATAAAAGATTAATAAGAATAAGTACTCATAAAAGATTAATAAGAATAAGTACTCATAAAAGATTAATAAGAATAAGTACTCATAAAAGATTAATAAGAATAAGCACTCATAAAAGAATTAATAAGAATAAGTACTCATAAAAGATTAATAAGAATAAGTACTCATAAAAGATTAATAAGAATAATAAATATAATTTTTAGTTTAAAGCATTGATTAAACCAAAATTAGTTAAGATATAAAATAAAAAGAAATAAATGATTCTGAAAATTAAAATAACATTTAATAAGTTTAATAATAAAATATAAATTCTGATACAAAATTAATTTAAGAATAGTAATAAAATATAAATTCTGATGCAAAAGTAATTTAAGAATAGCAATAAAATATAAATTCTGATACAAAAATAATTTAAGAATAGTAATAAAATAAAATATCAAATAATGAATCATTTAATTTATAAAAAAACTAAGAATAATAAATTTAAGAATAAAAGCAATAAATAATATAAGAATAAAAAGTTTTAGAATAAAGTTAAGAATAAGTAAGTTAACAATTATAATAACAAGAAAAATTTGATTAAAGTTAAGAAAAAAATAAATAAAAATAGAAAGAAAATAAATAAGAAGAATACAAAGATGAATAATAACAAATAGAATAAAAATAATAATAATAATAAGAATAATAATAATAAGAATAAGAATAAGAATAGGAAAAATAATAAAGCTAAAAAGAATAATAAAAATAAAGTGAATAGTAAAAGTAATTATCAGAATAAAAATAAGAATTATAGGTAGAAGAGAATAAATAAGAATTGTAGTTAGAAGAGAAAAAATAAGAATAAATATAATAGTAATAATCTGATTAATAAATTAACTAAAAAAGTAATAGTTAATCATAACTATAAGAAGAGAATATTTAATAAATACAAGTAAGTATATAAAAATAATAAGAAAAAGAAGTATATTAAAATAATTAAGTTGAACAAAAGAAAGAAAATATAGAAATAGATAATTAAGAACCATAAGAATAATAAAAATAACTAGAATATTCAGAATAACCTGAATTATAACAAAATCAATTACATTAATAAGATTTTTTTTAATAAAATTAAGAAGTTAATGAATAATAATCTATTCTAAAAGAAACTAAATAAGAAAGCAGCTAAAGTGAGAATAATAAATAAGAAGATTAAACTTTGATAAATAAGTTAGTAAAATCTCCATTAAATAAATAGAAATCAAATTCTTTATAATTTATGTAAAATAATGAAAATTAAGTTAAAAGTAATAAATAAATTGAAGAGGAAGAAGAATAAGAAAAAAAAATGTGCAAGGAAAATTCATAAAACGAAATAGACTAATAAGAAATAAAATAAAATTCAATTACAAATTTATAAAAAAGCTCTAATATTACCGAATTATCTTAAAAAATGTAAAAGGATTTAGAATAAGAAGTTTAAAATGAAATTAATATTGAAAAATAACCATCAATAAATAATAATATAAATGATTAGACTAGCCAAGATAATGAAAGTAGTACTAATAAATTAGGATCTTAATTCCATTTATGGACAGGCGAACAATGCTTGCAAATCATAGAATAGGATCCTATTAATTATTAGGCTTATTATAGATTGGCGTTATTCTGTTTTGATAATTAGGACATTTAAGGGGCTAAACAGTACCTTTTGAAGGTTTTTTAAATAAATAAACAATTCAAATCCGATAAAGTTAATATGGGTTTAGGAGAAATATTTGAATTGGAGAAAAATTATGAATAAGCCTTATATCATTTTAAAATTGTTTACAAAACAACAGATTAATAATAACTTATATTATTAAAAATCGCTAAATGTTTTTATAAAATTGGAAATATTTCGCATGCTTAGAAAACTTATGAAGAAGCTATTAAGGTTAATACGAAAAATTTTTTACCTTATTTGAAATTGGGATGGATGTAAATTAAAAATGGAGATATTAAGTTGGGAATTAATAATTTATAAAAAGCATAGTCTTTATAACCTGATAATTTCGAAATTACTGTTAAGTTAGGAAAAGTATTTATAAATATAAACAAAAAAATTAACTTTTTTTTTTTTAGGCTTATTTATTACTAAATAATGAAGATGGAATTGATGATGCCATTTTTCATCTTACTAAAGCTTTGTCTATTGATGAAAATGATTATGATTGCTTAATTGGATTAGGGAAAGCTTATGAGAAAAAAGGAGATATTGATAAGTCTATATAGTTTACTTAAGTGGCTATTTCTTTACCTAATAGTTTACCAAATATTAATTCTATTTTATTTTTGGGAATGCTTTATTTGAAAAAAAAAGATATTTATAATGCTTCAGAATAATTTAAAAAAATCTTATGTAAAAAAAAAAAATTATATATTTATATAATTTTAAACCAATTTTTAAAAAAATAAATATATTAAAAACAAAGAAATCGATCCTAAAAATGTAAATGCATTAATTGAATATGCAACATCTTTAAGTTTATAAGGTTAATATGATAAAGCAGTTTAATATTTTAAGTATAAAAATTACATTTTATTTCATTTTTTAAAAAAAAATATAAAATATTTAAAGAGAAGCAGTAAGCTTAGATTAAGAAAATATAGTCGGAAATTTAAGATTGGGAAAAATATTTTAAAATAAGCTTAATGATTTGGATGGTGCAATAGAATGTTATAAAAAAATAATTCAAGTTCAACCTGAATTTTCAAAAGCTCATTATTAATTAGGACTTGCCTATATAGAAAAAAAAGAATATAAAAAAGCTAGCGAAGAATTAAAATAGACACTTAAAATAAATCCAAGATTCAGTGGGGCATTTAAAGCTATGGGATTAATATTTTACAGAAATGCAAATGAATAGATAGCTTGTAAATATTACTAAAAAGCATTAGAATGCGATCCTACAGATATGGAATGTAAGGTAGGTTTGGCTAATTGTTATTATTTATTAGAAAATTTCGATTTAGCAATTTAATATTATGAAGAAATTTCAAATATCGATCAAAACGAAGAAATAGAATATAATCTTGGTAATTGCTATTATATGAAGGGAGAAATAGATGAAGCTATTTCCCATTATAAAAATTCAATAGATATAAAACCAGATAAAACTGATTGTTTATATAATTTAGGAAATGCCTTTTGTATCGTACAGAATTTCGAAAAAGCTTTAGAATGCTTTTAGAAAACTGTAGATATTGAACCTCATAATTCCTCGGCTATATATAATTTGGCAAATACTTATTATATATTAGGAGAACATGAATTAGCTTTTATTTAATTTGAAAAGGCTTTAGATTTAGAACCAAATAATGAGGAATGGTAAGGGTATATTGGAGGATTATTTTTTGAAAGAGGGAATTTCGAAAAAGCCAAAAAACACTACGAAAAATGTGTAGAATTGGATCGTTAAAATATTGATGCAAATTTCAAGTTGGCGAGTATTTTTAATAATCAGAATTAAAAAGATATTGCTTTTTAATATATAAATGTACTTTTTTTAGTTTTTTTTTTTTTTTTTAAGTTTATTTTCTTAGATAGTTTTATAATTATAACATGATCATTATGAAGGATTATATCTTAAATAAGAATTAGAGTAATATTTTAAAAACTAAAATGAATAAAAAACTGATAATTAAATTTGAAGATATAATTAATGATAAGAAAAAAAAAATTATTTATTTTATTATTTTAAAAATATGTGTTTAATATATAGATTATTTAGAAAATAATCATTTTTTTTTTTTTTAATTAAAAATAATATTTTTTTTTTTTTTTTAATATTTATCAAAACATTAAAAAATATATTTAATTATTTCAATTATTCATTTTTATAATTATTCTTTTAATATTTATAGTCCTTAAAAGAATAAAAATGAACATAATTTTTAAATATGATTAATTTAGTTTTTATTTTCTATATTTTTTTTTTTTAAAAAAAAAAACATAACAAAAACTTAATCATTTATTATTGTGTAATTTAACTTAAGCAACAATCACAGTTATATCATCGAGTTTACCTCCCATATATATCTAATTAGCTAATTTAGCTTTAATAGCAAAAGGGGATTCATAAAGCCATGTTAAAGATAATTTTTTAGCTTCCTTACCCAATTAACTTGCATAAGATTAAACATCTAAGTTTTTTTCAGATAATAAGTATTAAGAAATTTCATTTTAAATATTTCTTACATATACATTATCAAATAACCCATCAGTACCAGCTACAATAATATCATTATGCATTATTTTATGTTCTTATTCAACAGCTTCTTTAGGTAAATCCCCATATCCTTATCCTCCAAGCTATTATATTTATAAATAAAAATATTAATAAATATTTATAAATAAAAATATACTTAATAAGGAAAATCAAAAGACTTTTATTATTCCTTAAATTAATATATTAATTTAGGGATATTATTTTCATCTAATCTAAAAATAAGATACCCAGTATCACCTATATATGTACTTTTTAAAACATTAGTTTATTTATCTAATGCTAATATCAATAGAGTACTATTTTTTATTTTCTTATTATATTTTTTTAATTATTTTTTATTTTTTTACCTTGAACCTACTACATTAGTTTCTTTTGCTGCATGAATTAATAAAATTTTAGGATTTTAAATATATTTTAGAATATTTTATGAATAGAACTTTTAAACACTATTTTTATATATATAAATATTTTTAAAATTTAGATAACTTTTTTATTAATTCTCTACTATATTCAGCAGGATCTATTCCTTTTTCTGCCCATTTACCTACACCATCTGCTATTGCAATTAAACTAATTTTTTGTTTTGTTTATAAGTTAATGTTAATACTATTATGTAATAAATACTTCTTGTCAGTAAAATTAAAATCTTCTCCTCCGTTTTTTTCGTTATTTGGGCAAGGGAAAACTTAAATTCTATTTATTTAATTTTTTTTTAATAAATATTTTTATTATTTTTTTTAAATACCCTATATCTAAAAAGTTATTTTATTATAAGTGCAGTTTTGCCTAATTTTATTATTAGAGAGTATAATATAGAGCTAATGATGATGTTAATCCAAGTAACGTTTTTTCTAAATTAAATTTATATATTTAAATTAATATAATTCTATTTATTTAATTATTTTTATTATAGATGCTTTAATTATTTTTATATTTGTTATTGTTTTTATATATTTTGTTTGTATTTTACTTTTATGGAGTATTTTTATGTTTTTTAAGAAATTAGCAAACATATTTCTTTATATATATATATATATATAATAATTTTTTTAAGTATATATGTTTAAATAAAATAATTTTTTAAATAAAAACAAGTATATATTTTAATTTATATTAATGTGTTTTTTGCTTAGAAAAGAAATAAAAAATTTAAAATATAGAATATAATTCTTAAATTAATTACTATAAATTAGTTATTTATTTTTTATAATTTTTTTTTTTTTTAAGAAAATTGAAAATATTATATTAATTTTAAAATAATTCTAAATACAAAGTTGATATATATTTTTTTTTAAAAAAAATTGTTATTATTAAAAACTAATTTTATAATTTAAAAAAAAAAAAAATGAAATAATTATTAAAAATAAATAAATCAAAATACAATATATTTATAATAATTAAATAAAATATATAATAGATGATCTAATAAAAATATATTATATATTAATAATAACAAAATCAAAAAATTTATTTTATAATAGTTTCTTAATATAAAATAATACAAAAGAAAACCAAAATAAATATATATTACTAATTTATTATCATGATAAATTTCAATTATAATAGTAAATAAATATAAACAATATATATATTATTTTTTCAATAAAGTAGATTTTAGTAATCGAGAACAGCTTAATATCCTTATTCATCATATATTTATCTTAAATTTTAATTACTTAATATATTATAAGCATTTCTTATTTAATTGAATTTTTCATAAATATCATTTTAATCAATAATTTTATTTTATTGGAATAATTTATCTGGATGGTATTTTAAGCTTAATTATTTAAATTTTTATTTAATTTAATCTGTGGATGATTAAGGATCAACTTATAAAATACAATATAAGTCATTTTGATAATTTATTATGAATTATTATATAGCATCTTCTTATCTTTGCTTTAAATACTTATCAAAAGATGAGAATATTTTTTATTTATTATCTGTCTCATTTAACTTTTTTTATATAGAATTAGCATTAGAAGTATTGTTTCTAATAGGAGATTTTGAAGGTGTTCTCTCAGTTTATTATATTTTTTTTAAAAACTAGTTTTTTTTAGAAAATAAATCATCAAATATATCACTCATTTTTTTTTAAAAATTGAAAAATTGAATTTTATTTAAATTTGCTTAAAATAAAAATCATATTTTAATATAAATTATAGAATCAAATATTTTCTTTATTAAAAAAAAAAATTAAAAAAATGATTTTAAATACATTCTAAAATTAAAATAAAATATTATATAATTTGTATTAAAAAAAATATAGCAAAATACATTATTTTTTAATGTTTTTATATTTAAATAATAATTTTTTCAGGCTTTTATTTTAGGATTAAATGGTTTTGGTTTTTCATTTACAATTCCTACATTGATTCCCATACTACCACATTATCCAACAATACACTTATTTATTTTTTTAAAAAAATATAATTTTATTTAAGAGTACTTTGCAAATATTTTCTAATGAAGTATTACGGAAATCGAAATCCATTTCTTTCTTTATTTTTGCAATTTCATATACATATCTAACATCTACTTCATCTGTAGTAAGATGTCCTGTGTATTATGTAAGTTTATCTTTGTCTATATATTTTATAAAAAAAAAATTATTTAATTGAACTTTTAACATCTAAAATTATTTAATACTCAATATCTTTTTAATTAACCAAGATGTTGGTGGCGGCTTTATTATATAATTATAACTTCTATCTACATATGCTGCTAATTATACTCTTAGGGGAATATCAGATCTTATGTGAGCAGTCGCAGCATTAAAGTCCTTTTATATTAATTTTTTTAATAATGTTTTTTTTTTATTAAAATTTTATAAATATTTGTTCTCTTTATTTTTATCTTACTTTACAAAAAAACATCATATTTATGCCTAAAGGACCCAATGATTAACCTTTATTTTTTATTAATTAATTTTAAAAATTCAGTAAGTAATTTTGTTAATTGTTTGCTAACCCATTTTTGGATTTGGTTTTGCAATTCCTGCAAATACAGTAAGATTTATAATGGCTATTTTTATAATTTTATTTTAAATTAAAACTAAATTAATAATATTTACCTTTTATTTCACTCATTTTAAATATTTTATTTTTTATAATATTTATTTGTATTTTTTTTAGATATAAAAATATTGCAAAAGAGTATTATAAAAATAAAATATTTTTAATTTAAATATATTTAATCAATTCTAATTGTTTGAGATTTTATTTTTTTAATTTTTTTGAATTTATAATTTAATAAATTAATTTTTATATAAACTACGAAGATTTTTGAAATATATGAATTTATATTATACAATCCTATATAATATTTAACATGATTAAATGTTAAAATTATTTTTTAAAATACTTAAAAAATATTACAATTAAAAAAATAGAATACTTTTTAATTATTTTTAAATGTATTTTAATTTAAAAAGTTTTAATATTTACAATTTAAAAAAATAATAATAAACAAATATAAAAAATTTATTAAATAAAACTTAAAAAATTGTTATATTATTTATTATTAATAACAATAAAATTAATAAATGATTAAAATAAATTAGTTTAATATAATTTTTTTCACAAATAAAAATATAATAATAATAATAAAAAATTTATATTTAAAATAAATAAATAAAATAATTTGACAAAGATTAAATTAAAAAAAAAACTAAATGATAAGGCTTAATGATTCAAATCAAATAAATTAGATAAAAGTTAAATAAGAAAATTTAATTTTATAAAATGAAAAAGAATAATTATTACTTTAAGAATTCGAACTTTAATAAAATAATAATATATTATGTACTTAAAATTAAACAAAATTTTAAAATGGAGTATTAAAAAATAATATATATATATATATATTAAAAAATTATTTATTTGAAAAAGAAAAATATTTTAAAGTTAAAAATAGAATTTGATTTTTTAATAAAATAAAACATCTCAAAATAATAATAATTATAAACTTTAAATTATAAGGCTTAGAGAATATAGGAATAATCAGAAATCGAAAACAATATAACAACTTAAAAAAGCTTTTTAACAAATTTAAATAAATTAAGCAATTTTAATAATGATTCTCTAATTTATAAAGGCTCATTATATAAAATGAAGAAAGATTTAAATGTAACTTATATATCATCAAAATAATTTTTTAATCCTAATGGTGTATATGAAGTATTGGATGGAATTTAATATAATTAAATGAGGGTAGATGATATGGTTAATATCCATTAAGATACTTAAGATTAACTAATTCAAAAAATAGAAGAAATCAAATATTCTATTGTAAAAAACTTAGATTATATAAAGATATTATTTTTTTATAAAGGAAAAAATTGAAAAAAATAAAAATAATTTGGAAAAATTATAAATTATTTTTGATAAAAAATTTTCAAATATTAAACTTCGAGAAACTAAAGCCTTTTAAAAAAAAGTTTTATAAATTTTTTAATTAAAAAGTTATAATATATATATATATATAAATAGAACTATGCAATTTAAAAAACATAAATATATTAAGAAGAATTATAAAATTCTGCTTAATCTAGTTTATGTAAGATTTTAAAAAAAATTAAATTAAGAGCGATATTATAAAATAAACTAAATAAATGTAAAATGAGTTAACTTAATGTTTAATATAAATTGATGTATAAATAAATATATATATATACATATATATATTTTTAAATATGAAAGAGAAATTAAAATATAAAATAATAATAATTAATACAAATATAAAAACTTGAATAAATAGAATAAGAATTTATAAATAAATTATTTGAATCAAAATAAATCGAAACATATATAGATACAATAGAAAAACTTGAATAGTAAAAATTTATTTATAAAAAATATTAAAAATAAAAAAATATAAATATATAAATTAGTATATTTTTAAATAATAAAAATGAATAATAAATATAATAAAATATTGAATTAGTATTAAAAAATGAATAATAAGAATTTAATTAAAGCTTTATGAAAAGAAATGAATCAAATATTGAATTGTAAAACAGTTTAACAAACATAAGTTAGATTTAAATTAATTTATCAAGAACAAATATCCGAGATTAAAAATAAAAAACTACATAATAAATTCCAAATAATGATTTAGAAATAAATAGAAATTAACTTTTATATAGAATTAATAACTTTTATTAATAAAATGTTTAAGGACCTGATGCTTTAGTGAATAAATTATTCGAAAAATTAAATGAGTTAAATGTTTTGTCTTTAAGTTTGCATAAAAGATATTAGGAATTGATCATTGAAAAAAATTAAAAATAACTTGAATTACAATAAATGGAAAAAATTGAAAAAAAATGTATTATTTAATAAAAAGATATTCTTTAATTAAAAAATTAAGAATTTTTTTGCTAAGATTTATCACCTTAGATTACTTTTAGAAATAAATAAGGAAATTTTTAATAAAAGGAGTATATTATTTATGAATGTGAATCTTCTGGAATTGGAGATTTTATTAAAAATGATTCAGGATTTTTAAATTGGCTTTAAAGTAATTAGAAACAATCAAGCTTATTTAATTAGAAATAAGATTATTAAGATAATAATAAATATAATTAAAATAATACTTAGAATAATGATATTAAAAGTTAAAATAGTTATTAATAATAACAAAAATTATTTTCTGATTTAAATTAAGAAGACGAAAAAAATTAAAATATTTATTAATAAGAATAGAATATTGAATAAAACCATTAGAAATGTAATTAATAGTTTGTTAAAGAATAAAAATATGAAAATAATGAAATTGATAATGAAGGAAAAATTAAAGAAAATAATCAATAAAATTAAGAAAAAAATGAAGAAAAAATCGAAGAAAATAATGAAGAAAATAATGAAGAAAAAAATGAAGAAAAAAATGAAGAGAAAAATGAAGAAAAAAATGAAGAAAAAATCGAAGAAAAAAATGAAGAAAATAATGAAGAAAATAATGAAGAAAAAAATGAATAATAAAATGAAGAATAAATGGAAGAAAAAAATTAAGAGAAAAATGAAGAAAAAATCGAAGAGAAAAATGAAGAAAAAATCGAAGAAAAAAATGAAGAAAAAATGAAGAGAAAAATGAAGAAAAAAATGAAGAAAATAATGAAGAAAATAACGAAACAAAAGTTTAGAAAAAGAATGTTAAATTTGAAAATTATAATAAAATTTTGGAAATACAAAGTGAAGATACTCTAAAAGAATAAGAAAATAATAATGATTTCATTAAAAATATTGTATAAATCAATAATGAAAGCAACTAAATAGAAAGCTATGAATAAGACGAGTAAAAATTTTAAGAAGATTTAAATATCGATAAAGGGACAATTAATTAAATGAAGATATATCTAGATGAAAATAACTAATTAGATATATAATAATTAAAAGAAAAAATCGAACAATTTCATAATTTTTGTTTTGGAATATTTTTTAAGATTATAGAAACTTTATACAGGTATAAAATTAAAAAAATAATATCGTTTTTTTTTAAAAAAAAACTAAGATATTAGGAAACAATTCAAAATATTAATAGCTTTGTTAATGAAATTTTAGTTGATAATGAAATGAATGATTTTACTACTTAACTAAAATCTTTTTTGTATGCATTAAGAAAAGGAGTTATTGCTTTAAAAGATAATCCTTCTTTATATAATAAATATGGAAGTATTCCTACAACTAATTAGTCTTTAAATCTTGGTATTTATAAATATTTTATATATTTATTGTTTAAGTTTATTTTATTAAATTCAAAATAAAAAAAAGAAAATGAAAGACGATTTTCTAGTATTTCTGATAACTGTAATTTTTATTTATATAATATTTAATATTAAATAAAAAAAATAAAAACAATAAATACATAAATAGAAAAAATTTAAGAATAAGAAAATTTTATGCCTATAACAAAATCAGAATTAAAAAGCATTTTTATTGATATATTTTCGGAAAAAAATATTAAAAAGGCAAAAGTATTTGCAAATGAAATAAGAAATGTAAAAAAATATAAGAAATAATATATAAAAATTTTAATATATTAAAACATAATAAACAATTATAATAAAATAAAAAGGATATTTTCTTAACTCTTTTTTAAGGAAAGAAAAGAATTTAAAAATATTTGTATAATCTGTATACGAAAAATAGATAAAATCCAGATTAAGGGGCTATAGAATCAATAAAAAAAATCTATATTTTAAAAGATTAATCCTTATATTTATATTCAAAAACCTTAAAATAAATATTTGAAAAATATAAACAATTTTTCATATTATTAAATAATAGAATAAAAATAAGTAAGCAAAAAAAAATATAGAAAAAAAAAAAATTAAATTGAAAAGGAAATGATTAAAAAAATAATGATATAACTACAAATAAATTTATTGATTATTAAAAATCTTACGATTATTATTTTAATGGATTAATTAAAAAAATTAACGATTATTACGACGAATAAAACGAATTATCATGTCCTATAACAGAAGATATACCTTAGAATAAAAAAATTAAAAAATTAAATGATAATGAACGTAACAATAATGATGCAAACTATATAAATATGATTTGTAAATTAGCGGAAAAAAAATAGGATTATAAAAAGATAAATATTTAAAATAATAATAAAAATAATAAAAATAAAAACTAATTTAACATAAATTTATTAGATTAATCAAATAATCTTTAATTTTAATAAAATAATGTCACTGAAGAAGTATTTTATATCATATTATTTTTTATTAATAGAATTTTAAATAAAGGAATTTTAAGAATTAAAATATAATAATATAAAAAATTAAAATAAAAAGTATATAAAATAAAATAGTTTAAAAAATTTAACTCAATAAAAATAATAAAAGAAATATTATGCTAATTATGAAAATTAAAATAATGAAGAAATAAAAAAATATTTATCTATTGAAAGAGTTATAAGTAAATTAAGAAAAAGTATTTAATATAAATATATAATATATAAATTATATATATATATATATTTATATATTTATATATATATATATATTCACACATATATAAATTTTATTTTTATAAATAGTTGAATATAATTAAGATATATAATCTTCCTAAATTAAATAAGGATAATATAACAAATTTTATTTATCTAATATTAAATTATAAAAAATTTAATAAAAAACTTTATAATTAATTTAAAGTTAAGGAAAAATCGATCAGCTTGTATAAAATAATATTTTTTTTAAAAAAGAAAAATAAAATAATACATCTATTCAATCTTAATATATAGGAAATAATAATAAATATATTTTTGATTCATTAAATTTACCTGTAAAAATTAATAATAAATTCGATAAATTAACTCCATTGTTTTAATCTTAAAATTAATTTTAATTTTAAACCCTTTAAAATTATTTTCTTTAAAAAGAATCTAAAAAATAATAAGATATTTAGTAAATTAATAAAAATAATAAATAAGTATTATAAAGTTTAGGAAAATTAAAGATAAAAGAATAATAAATAAATTATAACAACAATAAATTCTGAAAAAATGAAAATTTTTTTATGATAAAATTAAATAATATTATTTAATTTATAATAAAATTATTTAAAAATATATTTATTAATATAATTTTTTATTATTCTACCATTTATTTAATTTAAACTTATTTATTTCAATGTTTTTTTTTATTTTTTTTTTAAAATTATTCATAATTATAAATAAAAATAATTTGTTTTCATAGTTAATTAAAACAAAATATTAATACTAAAAATTTTAATTAATTATTCTTTTCAAAAATTTATATATTTTAATCTTTAAAATAAAATTTTCAATTATAATAATAAATTAAAAGTAATAAATAAAAAAAATATATTAATTGAAAAAAAAAATCGATTTATTTAAAAAATAAAAATAATATATAAAAATATGTATATAAAATTTATTATTATTATTAATATTATTTTTATTCAATTATGGAAAGATTCACTTTTCGATTTCGAAGTTTCTACTTATAAAGAAACTTATTTTTAAGCATTATCTAAAAGCATTTGATTTTCATCTATATATATATAAATATATCTAATAAATATATATATATATACCTTTAGGTCTTGCGAAAGGAAGAATAATAATTTTGTTATAAATGCAATTTCCAACTACAAGTATAACAAAGCCAATAGCTTCTACTACAATAGCTCCTGCATTTAGATTTTCCCATTAATAATTCGGATTTGAGCTACTTACAGTCAAAATAATACCAAAAATCCACACAATTACTGTTCTGGAAACATCTACTACAGATCTAGCTAAAGAAGATACATGTTTAGTAATATTTACACCACAAACATTAAAAGCTGCAATTGTGAAAACACCTAAAATAATCCAGAATCCAAGAATACCTATATTTATTTATAATTTAATTTTCATTAAAAAATTATTACCACTAGCAAATTGTTCAAAATATAATCCTGGATATTCGTATCTATAATCTGGGCTTTGATCTGTACCTACATTAACGCAAGCATCTGTAGGTAAACTACATTTGGCATAAGATAAAGCCGGTAAAGCAATTGCGTATATAACTAATCCCCAGAAACCTTCTGTTCCAACAACTTAGAATGGATGTAAATAATATTTACTGAAAAGCTTTTCTTCAGAAACAAATAGAATCCCGTTTGTAATTAAAGAAATTAAAATTAAACCCATTGCAACTGCTGCTTTTGAAGTATCCTTTTTTTATTAATATTTTAATTTTTATTTTATTTTATTTTTTTCACTTTTTGATCATTACTGTTTTTAAAAACTAGATTGGATAAACCTACAATTCCTACTCCTATTACAGCTAAAGAACAGCCTATGTAATTGAATAGTTGGAGTTTTTTTTTTAGGAAAAATATAGTGAATAATGTAGTTACTAATATAACTCCTCCTCTTAACATTTAATATATAGAAGGATTAATGAAATTTAAGGCTATGTATTAAAGATTGGAAGTGAAAAAATCAGCTGCAGCAGGAATTATTAACCAGAAATAATTCATTTTAGTTTCTAGTTAATTTGCTTTGGCTTCTAGTACTTCTTATTCATATTAGTCTTTTTTGAAAGTTTTGAACCATAAAAATAAAAATATGCACGAAAATTCACCTACAAACATTGTCACGGCTTACATGAAGGGATGATAAAATGCTTTACCATTAAGAGTAGATGAGTTTTATAATTTATAGACTATTTTTGTTATTATTATTGTGTTTTTTTTTTTTTAAATAAAATAAAATAAAATGTAAATATAATACCTATGGTATTTGATGCGCCTGCTAAAATCATACAAATTAAGAGGAAATATATAAATCCTTTTGATGCCTAACTTTATTACATCTTTTTTTTTTATTATAGTTGAATATATATTTATAAAAAATTACTTATTTTTAGTATTTATTATATTACAAAATTAAGTTAATCTAATATATCTATTACCTTTTATTTATATTTATAGAAGATTTTTATTTAAATAGTTTTTTTTTTTTTGTTTAAATATTTTTGTTTTGTTTAAATAATTAATTTTTATTTTAATTATAAAAGAATTATATTATCGTATTATATAAATATTTTAAATGAATAATTTTAAAATACGCTTATTTTTGTATTGTAACAGTATTAATAAATTATATTAGTTATTTTAACTATATAATTTGTAAATATAATAAAATTATTAAAAAAATAAGATTAAATAAAATAAACTTTAAATATTTTTAATAAAGAATTAATATTGTAATTTTTTTATATTATTTTTAACTATTAACTATTAATTTTATTTTTATTTCTTTTTCTTTTAAATAAAACAATACAAAATAATAAATATAATTATTAAAAAAAATAAAAATATTTAATATATATATATAAAATTTAAAATTAACATGTATTATTTATATAACATAATTTTTTATATTTTAATCTAGATTTTATAATAATAATATACTTTATTTTTTATATTTTATATTTATAAATTTTTAATTAATTTTGTTTATTATTAAGAAGAATAAATTTTCCCTGAAAAATTCGAAATTAATTTATATGGTATTAAAGGAATAGAATATGTGCATTTTGATTTTCATAAAAGGGCTAAAGTTTTACATATATATATATATATTTATTTGATTTTTATATATAAAAAAAGATTTTTAGGGAATATGATTATAAAGAAAAAATTATTGGAAGAATAAAAAAAAGTTTAGAAATTTAATTCAAAAGATTATTTAGATAGATTTAATTCATTTATAATAATAATCTGTCTTATTATTGTTAAATGAAATGCATGTAGGAAAAAGGGCTTATTAAAAGGATAAAATTCCAGTTTTGTAAAACAATTGAAGTAATTTTGGATTGAAAAGCGAAATTATATTTCGAAATTGTATTTTTGGACATATTCTACAACTAAAAATGCATCTAAAAAACTTAAATGTTATAAGTTTAAGTAATTAAATATCATAAAACCTTCAATAGAATATTTATAAAAAAAATAAAAATAAAATTAAAATTTACAAATAATAAATAAATAATTTATGAATATGTTTTTATGCATATTATTTTTGGGAACAAATTTGTTAGATTGATTGATTTATTATATACCTAAAGTTTTCTTTTTTAAATAAATATAAATAACTAAAAATAGTTTTGATTTTTAATATCAATATTAAATAATTTCTATTGAAAAAAACTATTCTATTTATTTTTTTAAAAAAAAGAATCCAAATATGATTTCATTTAATTTTTTTAATTAAATCTTGAAAGTTTATTTAATAAATTAATTTATTATAACTTTTAACAACTAAATATTAATATTTTTAATTAATTTTATAGTTATATATAATAAATAACTAATTTTTAATTTATTAATGCACTTTAGATTTAACCTAAAATTTGTTTAAAATTTATAAAATGAAAATATATAATATATATATTTAAAAAACAATTATTTTAAATATTAAATAAAACTTAATTTATTTTTTTTTAAAAAAAAAACTTTTCTAAAATAAATAAATAATAAACAAAAATATTATATAAATAAACAAAAATGACAACACCATTTATATCCAAAAGAGAAAAAAATCAAGCTGACAACAAAGAACAAGCTCAAAAATAAAAAGAAGCCCACGATAAATTTAACTAGGCAAAAAAATTAATGAAATCTGAAATAAAAGTACAAAAAGATATCGAAAAAGCAATCCAATTTTTTTCTGAAGCAATAAGTCTATTACAAGTAGCGTCTTAAGAAAAAGTCTAAACATATGCTAAATATTACTCTGCGAGAGGTAATGCATATATGGAGCATGGTCAATATTAAAGAGCATTATATGATTTTTCAGCTGCAGTAAGATTTGATGAAGGACGTGCAGATTATTATAGTATGAAAAAAAAAACATATAAATATTGATAAATATATTTATAATTTATAAAGGTTGCAGAGGAAATTGTCTTTTATAATTAAATTAAATAAAAGAATCATTAAAAGAATTCAATAAAGCTATTGAATTGGATTGCACAGATGGTTTTTCATATTTAAATAGGGCGTTAGTATTCGCAAAATTAGAAGAATATAATAACGCTATAGACGATTATTCAAGTGCTTTGGGACTATTGAAAGATAATAAATAAGCAAATGCAAAGTTCAAAGCTTATTTTCATAGAGGAAATTGCTATAGATAAATAAAAGAATATGATAAATCTATAGAAGATTTATAGAAAGCATGCGAAATAAAAAAAGACAATGCACCAGCGCAAAATAATTTGGGATTGTCATTTTTTGAAAATTAATTGTATGAACAGGCTTTAGCAAAATTTTAAAATGCAATAAATTTAGATGATTCTAAAGCAACTTATTACAATAATAAGGCTTTAGCACTATATCATATAGGAAAATTAAAAGAATCTTTAATTGAATATAATAAAGCTATAGATGTTGATCCTTTAGATGCACGTACATTATATAATAGAGGAAATACTTATTTAGCTTTAGGGTATTATATATATATAAATATATATATATAAATATATATATATATATATATATATATATATATATATATATATATATATATATTCATAAAAAGATAAAATTAAGATGCACATAATGATTTTGATTAAGCTATTTAGTTAAATCCTGGAAATCCTAAATTTTATCATTCGAAAGGGTTAGCTTTTTAAGATGTTGAGGATTATGAAAATGCAATTATTTTTTCAAACAAGCATTAGGTATTTAATCCGACCATGTACCTTCAATCTATCATTTAGGTTTAATGTAACACAAGAATGGTGATTTAAATGAAGCTTTGTAATCTTTTACTTAAGTATTATAGGCAATAGGAAATGATAGATTAGTTTTTGAAAGTCGAGGCTTAGTTTATTAAGAAATGAAAAATCATGATTATGCTATATATGACTTTGATGCTGCTATTTAACTTGAACCGGGATATGCCGAAGTTTATTATTATAAAGGCTTGAGTAGAATTGAGTAGAGGAATTTATAAGATGCTATTGAGAATTTTAATATGGCAATAAAATTAGGTTCTAATAATCCTGGAATATATAGCGGGATAGGATAATCTTATAGACTTTTAAGAAATTACGAAAAAGCACTTTATTATTTAAATTAGGCTTTGGAAAAAAGCCCTGGAAATGAAGAATGTCTAGTATAAAGATCAAATATTTACGTAGATATTTAAAAATATTAAAATGCAATAGACGATCTTTCCGAGGCTTTATCTAAAAGACCGAATGATCCTTAAATTTTATATAAAAGAGGTTTGGCTTACTATAAATACTTATAATTCGAAAAAGCTATCAAAGACTTATTAAATGCTATGGAAGGCGGGCCCTTTTAAAGCTATGAAAGTGATATTCATTATCATTTAGGGATTTCGTTTGCTAATTTAGAGTTGTTTGAAAAGGCTATTTAACCTTTAAGTAAGGCTATTTAATTATGTAAATATGAAGCATAGTATATACATGAAAGGGCTAAATGTTATTTATTAGTGGGGGAGTTTGAAAAGTCGGTGGAAGATTTTACAAGAGTAATTTAATTATAACCGAAAAATTCACATGCGCTTTTTGGAAGAGGGTTTGCCTTTAAAGCTTTGAAGGAATATGAAAAAGCTGCTGAAGATTTTGAGTAGGCAAAGATGCTTGATCCAGGAAATCCGAAGTTAGTTGTAAATTACAAAATGATATAAAAGATGTAGTATATTAAATTATGTTAACCTGGGGAAGAAACTAAATGAATTAATTTTATTTATTTATATATATTTTTAAATTAAAATAATTTTTTTTTACATTTTTTTATTTTTAGTTATATTAATTAATTTAAGATTTTTTGTTTTTTATACAAAAAAATAAGTAATTATTGTTTTATTTATATTATACAAATATGGAAAATTAAAACATTAATATAAATTTTAGTTAAAAGAAAAAAATAGACTAAAACTTATTAAATAGCTTACTATTATTAACGAAGGTAATGAGTATTGCTAAAATATTCCTAAAAAATTATTAAGTAAAAAGTTAGATATAATATAAGAAATAAGTAAAAATGAAGAAAATAAAGATTAATAAAGGAAAATAAAAATTAAAAAATTCGAAATATACCTCGGGATATTTGATTATTTAAAAGATTGTAAATGAAAAAAATATATATTAAAAAATAATAAAATAAATAGAAAAAATAAAATTAGTACACAAAGTGCTTTTGGCTTTTATTTTTTTACTTATTTTTAGTGATATAGGTATGAGTATTTTACACTTTTTGAATTTTGCAAATACAAGTTGCTAAAATACAAAATATATAAATTTAAAAGTATATTTTACGGATATAATAAATGTTATTTTTATCAATTTGATTAAGTTTGGAATAATAAATGAAGTTTTTTAAATATTTAGTAACAGTTTTCCTATAAAAATGGAATTTTAGTTTATTATTCCTACAATATAATTAGGTGTTTTACCGAATTTTCAAATAAATTAATATAGCTATAATTTAAAGGAATGTAAATAAATAGATGAAAAGTTATTTTATTATAATTATTGCAGAAATTTTGTTGATATTCTTTGCTATTGTGTAATTATATTGATTTTTTTATTACTTTTTTTAATATTTGTAATCAAAATAAAGTTTTAAAGGGATTAGTGGAAAAAAATAAAGATTTATTTTTTAAGTATTTCATGCTTTTTTTTGAGTTTATTTTTAATTTTTCATTTTATTTTTTTCAGTATTTTTATTTTAAGCAAGACTTTTGTTGCTTCTCTTTTGCTTTCATTATCCCTTTTTTGGATATTTGGTATTCTTTTGGCATTCTGTGCTTGGAAAAAAGTTAAAAATAATGTGGATGTTTTTGGGTATTATGAAGGAGAGGTTATTGAAGATATAAAAACGGAAAATAATAGTATTTTAAATGAATAAATATAAAATGTTAAAGTTGATAAATCTGAAAATATAATTAATGATTAAAATTAATAAGAAGAAAAAATTTAAATAAATATAATTAAAAAAAATAGTAATCATATTAAAAACGAATAAAACTAAAATTAAAAGGACTCTAATTTAAATGAAATTATTAAAAAAAAAAAAAAAAAAAATACTTTTATAAATAATAATTAAATTTTGGTAAAATTTGAAAATTTTAGTTAATAAAAAGATTAAGAGTTAGCCTCTATAAAAATTTTAAATAATAAAGAAACCAATATAGATAATATGCATTAAAAAAAAAATAGTGATGATTTTAATATATAAGAAAGTTTAAAAGATCTCAGAAATATTAAATAAAAAAAATAAAAAATAAAATAATTAAAATAATTAAATATATATTGAATTTTTAATTAAAATTAAAAATATTTGTATTATAAATATAATATATCTGTTTTTCTTTATTTATTAATTATTTTTATTTAAATAAAGAAATAAAAAAACCAAAAATATATATTTTATATTTTTTTTAATTTATTTTAACTAATTAAGTAAATAAATAAATAACAAATAAATAAAAAGTATTTTAATAAGAATTTTATAATGTTATCATAAATATCAAGAAGATTCTTTACCTAATTATAATTAGTACTTTAATATATATATAAAAAATTTAAAAAATGCTTTTTTAATAATTAATTTTTATTTAAAATAAAGGAAGTTTAACCTCTTATTGTAAATGTTGGTGATTTTTGTAAATTGAGGAAAAAATTTACTGAAGATTAACTAGTTATGTTTAATTCATGCTCAGGTGATAATAATCCTGTTTTTGTTAGTGAATTGCCTGGTTTATTTTTTATAAAAACATAAATTAAATATTTTATATTTTTTTATATTATTTAGGAAAAAAAGCTTTTATAAGATAAACAGCAGTACATAATATGTTAAGTAATTCAATATTTTCGATATTAATAGGAAAAACATTTAGAGATTCAGTCTATATAAATTAAAATATAAGGTATAGGGCACCAATATTTATTGAAGAAGAAGTATAAATATTATAATAGTAATAAAAAAATATATAAAATGTAAAGATTGAAGGATATATAGAAGTATTAGATGTATAAGAATAGGAAAATAGAAAAATTATTGCTTTAAGAACAATTATATATAAATTAGAATATAATAACTAGGTTGCAACAGATGGAGAAGTAAAGCTTATTTATTATGCCCCTGAAAATATTAAATTAGAACAATTTATAGAATAATGAAAAAAGATATATAATAAAAATATGTAAAAGTTTTTTTATAAAATATTGTAAAAAAAATAATGATTTTTATTTATTTAATAAATTCAATAAATAAATAATAAAATACATATATTTTTTTTTATATTTAAAAAAAAAATATATTTATTTAAAAAATAACATATAGTTTATTTTTCTCTCATAAAATATCAAAAATATAAAAATTATAAATTAAATAATAATTAATGAATTTTCAACCCATTCTTAAAATTCCTGCTTATATAAGCTTATTAATTTTAGGTGCTAATGTTGGATTTTATAATATCTTAATAGCTTCTTTTGGATCTTATTATAATGACTTAAGTGCATTTTATACTTCTGGAGTCATTAAAATTTATTAAATTTCAGGATCAGCCATAGCATGTTTTGCTCTTTCTTCTTGCTCTTTTTAATCTCCACCTCCTACATATATAGATTATTAAGTTTAAGCTAAAGAAGTTTTTAGTTCTTGATTATCAGGTTCTAATTTAAGTCCTTTTTCATAAGCATCTATTGCTTTATGATATTCTTTCATAGCGTGATGACAATTTCCTTTTTTTAAATAAGCTTTAACATATTTAGAATCTAATTAAATTGCATGTTCAAAATCTTTCAATGCAGTTGGAAATTCAAGTAATTTTACATAACAAATACCTCTGTTGCATATATATTTAGGATCACTAGGATTTCTTTTTACTGCTTAATCATATTCTTTCATAGCATCAGGATATTTTCCTTATTTGAATAACTCTTTGGCTATTTTTTTTTTTATTTATATTTTTTTATTTTTATTTTTTAAATATACCTTTTTCATTATGTTCTTCGGCTAATTATGGGTTAATAAAGGCTTTTTATTCTAGTTCTTTTTATAATTTTTCTACAGCTTTTAAATCTAATTTTACTTTTCCGTTGAAATCTTCTAGGAGGGATTTTTAGTACCATTCAATAGATTATTTGTAGTCGTTTAATTTGGCATAACAAGCGCCTTTTCTAGCATATAATTTAGCAAGTTTCTAAAAGTCCTTTATTTGGTGATCTTCGCATATCTTTAAAGCCTCATTTACTACATCAATAGCTTTTTAATATTAATTAGTTTCGATATATACTGCGGCTTTATTGTTGTAAAGGAGAACTTCTTTAGGGTTAATAGAAATTGCCTTATCATAACATTCTTAAGCTTTATCAAATTATTTCTTTTTATAATATTCATTTCCTTCTAATTTTAATTTTTCTTCTTCTGATACATTTTTAGATTATTAATGTTATTATTATTATTATTATTTTTGAGGTGATTAACTTTTTTTTTCTTCAGTATTTTGATTTTTTTATTCATCTTTTTCTTCTTATTGTTATTATTCAGGTTTTCCTTTTTATTATTAATATTTATTAGCCATATTTTATACGTCAAAATCTTACATCATAATATTTAAAGCTTCTTATAATCTAGGATCTTATTACATAAGTACAGGAAACATTTACGGATTTTTTTAAAGCATTTATAATTTTTACATAAAACTAGGATCTTTTAGATAATCAGCAGTCTTAGGATTCATAGCTAATTTCATCATTATTTAAGCTGCGAAATTATCCATAAAACCATCTCCTTTTTTTCCACTTCCGCCTTAAGAAATTTCATCTTAAACATTTTAAAGCCTTTCTTTTAAAACAGTGTTATTTGGTTCATATTCTAGGCCTTTCTTATATGTATTTACTGCGTCTTCTAATTTACCTAATTCATATTCCGCATGACCTTTTCTTTAGTAACCTTTTGCCCAATCAGGCTTTAATTATATGCATTTATTGGCATCTTCTAAAGCCTTTTCAAGATCGCCTTTAGATGCGTAAGCTCCACTTCTGTTAGAATAATATACATGATCATTAGGGTTTATTTATATAGCTTTAGTAAATAAATCAACTGCTTCTTCGAAACGGTTCTCTTGGAAAGCTTTATTTCCTTAGTTTTTATATTCCGTAGCTTGATCAAGGGACATTTTTTTTTTATTTATAATTGTTTTTTGTTTGGTTTTATAATTTAATTAAATAAAATGATTCTATTTATTTCTTTTAAATTATATAATAATAAACTAATATCTTTTTTTTTATTATTTTCTTTTTTTCTTTTTAAAGAATAATAGAAGATTAGAAAAAAAAATTAAATATAATTATTATTAATAATAATTTATATTTTTTAAATGTATTAATTATAATTTAGCTAATTTGATTAATTTTATATATTTATAATTAATTATTTTATATTAATAATTATAAAAAAATTTAAATAATTTATATTATAATGTTATAAAATATTTAAAAAAATATATAAATTTATATATATAAACATATATATTTATTATTTATATATTATTATTTTATTTTTTTCTAAATATTATTTTTTATATAATAAAAACATACATATTTAACATTTATTAAAATAATGTTTTTAGTTATTTATATTTTAAAAAAACAAATTTAAATTTAAATATAAATTATATATTTTAAAAATTTCATATTTCAAAAGTTATTTCATTTTCAAAATTATCCTTATTTATAATCCAATCCTAATCTAATTTAATATATTTATCTATATACTTATCATTTACTTTAATCCCAGCAATAATAATCTAATTAATAATATTTTTTTAGAAAACAGTATTTTCATTTAATCCTTTACTACTAACTGTAACTTTAAATTATTGTTAATCATTATGATTTAAATAAAAACCTTAAGCAAAAATATTCATAACACAATTATTATTGTTTTCCTAACAATTATTGACTATATTATCATCATTATTATAATCTTCAATAGTTAACATACTACCTGAGGCTTATAATTATTAATCAAAAGCAATAAAAAGACTAAATTTATTATCTAAAAATCTACTTCTTAATACATTTTAGTTATCTTAAATATGAACGATTTTCCCGCCTCTAATAAACAATGGCACATAATCACTAAATGGTACATCTAATTATTATTTTCCTGCTTTATAAGGCTACTTGCTATAAAAATCATAAAATGTATCTCCTTCAGGGATATAAATATCAATTAGAGTACTTTGAGTTTATTCATTTCCCTCTTTCAAAACTGGAGCTGCTAATAAAAATTCACCTAACATAAACTAGAATTCAATATCAAAAGTATTCAAATCGTTTGGAAATTCAAAAAAAAGAGGTCTAAAAACAGTCCCTACACCTCCTTATCTGACAAAAAGATGATAATAAAATTTTAATAGTTGATATCTAATATTTAAAGAGTTCAAAGATGCCTATAAAACATAAGGATAGTCAGGAAAAGCATAAGGTTCTTAAGAAATATAGCCTATTCCATTATGATTTCGGGAAAAAGGATACAAAGAGCCTAATTATTACCATCTAGCAAGTAATTATGGAGTAACATTTCCATTTAAACCACCAATATCATCTCCTACAAGAGGTATTCCGAACATTTAAAAATTCATTATTCCTGGTATAGATAATCTTAAATAATCCCAATTTGAAAATCCATCACCATTCCAATGCTATACAAATCTTATTATAATAAATATATATATTTAAAAAAAAAAATTTAAAATTAATATTAAATATTTATATATTTATATATTATATATTTATATATTTATATATTTATATATTATATTTATTTATATATATATATTTATATTTTTTTATAATCTTATATTTATATTTTTTTATATTTATTTAATTTTTATTTTCTTTTTACTTTCCACTGCCAAATAATGTACTTCTACTTAATATAAATGTCAATTTTTTTCCCATTTTCTTAACTATTTTATATGTTGCTATACTTTCTGAAAATCCATTTAGATTATGCATATCATATTATGTTAAGTTGTAATTTTGTATATAAATTAGTTCTGCGTCTTATTTATTATATTATTTGGCATCCAATGATAATGTTTTAAATTCTAAATCTTAATTTCCTTAAGGATTAAATGGTATATCATTATTTTATTAATTTAATTTTACATTTTAGTGTTTTTTAATAATTTCTCCATTAACGAAATTCGAAAACTCATTCATATCAATCCATATACCATCTTGTTATAAACCTGTTGTTTAAGTTAAATTTTAAAATCCTTCAAACCAAAATTAAGTAGAATTAGGATGATTAAAATCAGGATAATAAGTATCTCCTGGCCAAACTGAACCAACTAATGGTTTATTAGTTTTTGCACTTTAAATAAAAGTATTCATTTCGATTCCTTTCTTAGCATAATCAGAATTTATAGCTATTCCAACATCAATTATACTACTCCAATGCACACCCTAATTATCTGATCTATTTAAAAGATAATTTAGATAAAAATTATATATACATATTTATATATATTATTACAAATTATATATTTTTTTCATAGTATTTAAATTAAATCTTTTTTAATCTAATGTAAAATCTTAAAAACTATTCATATAATCAATATCAGTCCATAAAGAATCTAATGGAATTTATAATTAATTAAACTTATTCCAAACTTCTTATAATTAATCAGAATTATTGTATCCCCATCTACATTAATGAAAACCTTACACCCAAAAAGGGTGCAAAATCCACCCATTTACATACTAATGATACATTTTTATTACTTCTTCAGGATTATTTCCTAAAAAAAATTTAAAATCGAAATTTCCTCCAATAACTTTATACATTAATGATTAATTTTATTCATAATCAATTTCCATTCCATAAGAATTTCTTAAAAATACAACATGGAATTTATTTTATTCGTGTTCTTTCCTTAAATACATTGGATGGGCACCATATATTTACTAACCGAGAGTTCCGTTATCTATTCTGGCAGCATCTGCGTTCCATATAGTATATTTTCCAGATGAATATTAAAATGAGGACCTTCTTTCTCCTAATCCGAATATTTTTTCGTTATTCATTTTTGTCTTTAATTATAAATATTTATCTGAAAAAATAAAGTCCGAACTTTATACATCAAACAAAACCTCTTAAGTGTCTTTTCGCCAAATTTTTATTGAAAAATCTTCTCCTTCATCTGATATTTAATAATCAAATAAAACGTCTTTTCCGTCTTCTTTTGTTACTTTTGTAAAAGGAAAAGGCATTTAATGAGGAAGCTCGAATCTTTGGTTTTAACTATCTGTTATTTTTAAATTTAGTTCATTATAGTTATCTATTATTAATGTTAATACGAGATTTTATATTGGAATATAATTAGTGTCATTTTATGGTTTAGAGTATTTTAAAAAAGCTTTAAGTCCGCCATTTGGAGTTTTAATAAGCTTCTATATTTAATATTTGCCTATTTCATTATAATTTTAAATTTTTTAATAAAATACAAATTATATTAATATTAATGCAGGTATTATTAATAATAAATATTTATTCATTTTATATTATTTTACTTAGTCTTTTTTTTATTTTTATTATTATTTTATTTAAAATTATTTTTTTTATCAAGTTTTTATTATGAATTTATTTTCTTTTATAAATATTAAATATGTTTTAATTCATATTTATTTTTAATTTAAGTATTATATATTGAAAATATTTTTATAATAGTATATGTTATTGCATATATTATATTAATTATACATTTAATTTTATTTTATTTTATATTATTTAAATTAAATAATTACATTAAAAATATTTATTATAATAGAATATTTTATTATATATATTATATAAATTATCATTTTATTTTAATTTTATATATAATAATTATTAGTATTTTTGTATATATTATATAAAGATAATAATATAATTATTTTTATAAAAATCATAATTATAAAGATTTTAATATAAAAAAAATATCATATTAAATATTTATTTTTATATTAAATTATGAAAATATTATAAATATATTTAATAAAATAATAAATAATTTGTATTAAATATATATATATAAATATATATTATTTATATTTTAAATTATATATTTAATTAATAAGAAATATTATTATATTTTATAAAATATAATAATTTAATCTTATTTATTTAATTTTTTTTTTTTTTAAATATATAATATTTTAAATATATATTTATTATTAAAAAAATAATAAGCAAATATATAAAAGAAATATAATATAATAACATTTAAAATATATAATAATAAAATAATATATTATTATTCTTAATAAACTATTAAAAATAAAAATAAAAATAAAGCCTAAGCGTACTATAAAAATATATAATAAAACATCTATTAATATATATTTATATTATATATATATATTTTTTTTATTGTACAAAAAAATGACATAAAAATAAATAAAAAATATCATTTATAAAATACGTAACATTTAACTTTACTGTTTGCTCAATTTATATAACCATAATTACTATTATTATTATTTTTTTCACTAACATTACAATTAGTATTTCTTAAGTTATTATTTTCATCGTCGCATTAAACCATTTTGCCATTTTAAAATATTCCATTTTTAATCTCTCCAAAAGTGTAAATATATTTACCTTTTCCATGCTATTTTCCATCAAACCATTCCCCTTCATAAATTTTTCCATCTGCCCATCTATAAATTCCAAATCCTTATTTTTTATCTTCAAAATAATCCCCTTCATAATACCTTCCATCTTACCAAGTATATTTTCCTTTTCCATGTATATAATTATTTTTCCAGAATCCTTTATATTTTTAAATACATTAATTTTAATAATTTTTAAAAACCTTCATATCTTCTTCCATCATTCCATTTATATATTCCCTAATTTAATAGAAAATTTTTAAAAAATATATATTAATTATATATTACATATCCATCTAATTAATTCTCGACCCAAGATCCATCATAAGAACTTCCATCTGCCCAAATATAGGTGCCTTAACCATTTTTTTTACTATCTTTATAATAACCTTAATATTTACTACCGTCTTACCTTTCTTAAAAAGTTAATTTATTTTGTTTATTTAAAAATAAACAAATATGAATATATAGAATATATATATTAATTAATATATATATATATGTATTTATTTTTAATAAAATTTACCATTATTCTACACCATATCCGTTCTACATATCATTACTCCAGTATCCAGAATATTTAGAACCATTTACACGTGTAAATGTACCATATCCTTATGCCTTATCGTCTTGCCAATTTCCTTCAAAAATATCGCCGTTGGCATGATAAAATGTTCCTTTTCCACATGCTCTATTATTTTTCCATTCGCCTTCATATTTTGCACCATCAAGCCTTTTTATTTAAAAAGATAAATATTTTATTTTATTAAGAAAAATACCATGTTTATATTCCAAAACCGTCTTTTTTATTTCCTAACCATTAACCTTCATAAACTATTCCGTTTTATAAGTTTATAGGTTCTTTCTTTTATCTTTATGGAGTTAAATTTATGTAGTTTTCTTAGATTTATAAATATTCTTAATGATTCTACATCTTTTTTTTATTTTTTGGTTTATTCTATTTTTATTTTATATGTACATTTTCATATAAAAACTTATAATCAATAACATCGACACTTTCTTTTGTAAATTCTGCTTTTCCAAACATATCTTCTTGATGCTTAATTTTTTGTTTTATTTTAATTGTTTATTTTTTAAATATTTTTTTAAATACAAATTAATATTCTATTTTATTTTCTTTGTTCTCACTGCATGTACATTATGTTTTACATTCGTTTCCCATTAAATTTATGAAAATTTAAATAAATATATTTATCTGATTATATAAAAATTGTTTGTATGTATTTTTTGCAGAAATTAAATATGTATGTAGTATTTTATTATATAGTTATAATTTAATTTAAAATTATTTACTAAATTAAAATAATAAATACAATATAGAAGTTAGTTATAGTATATTAATTATATTTTTTTTCTATATAATTATATATAAATATACAATTTAAATATATTATTTTATCAATTTAAATAATTTTTTATTATTTCATTTATTATTTTACTCAAATAAAATTTTTTTATATATTATTCGTAAATATTATATTTTCTTATATTTTAATTTAAATATTAGGAGAAAATTATTTTATTCTAGAAGTATTTTGATTTCTTGATAAATCAATAGTACTTTAAGACCTTTAGTTTATTTTTGATAAAGTAAGAGGTTTTATAAGTTTATTATTAATAAATTTTTATTATAATTATTTAATTTAATTTTTAATTAAAGGAAATTAAATAGTTTTAATATGTTTTTATTACTGACTTTGATTAGAAATTAAATTTTAAGATAATTATTATTCGTTTCTTTTTTTTATTTATTTTTTAAATAAAATAATATGTTAAATAATTAAATTTTACTTTTCTTATATTATTTATATTTCTTATTTAGATTACATAGATTTCTAATGTTTATGTTTTTTAGACAAATTTTGTATTTAATTTTTTGTAAAAATTTCATTTACATTTGAAAAAGCTTTAGTACATTATTTAATTTTTTCACTAATTTATTATTATTTATGAACAACAAAATTTTATTCATTTAAATATTTATGACTTATTTTATTTAATTAACTAAAATATTATTTCTTATTATTAAATTTCTAATTTATATTGTTTAATTAATTATTTATTTTTTATTCAATATATTAATTTTTTAAATTAGTTCTTTGCTTTTCGAATTCTTCAAAATCATTATTATTGACTAATGGTAATTCATTTTAAAGTTTATTTATTTGTTAATTGATTATACTCATTAATTATATTTCTTATAATGTTTATTCTGCTTTTATATTCTCTTCTTTCTCTTCTATTTTTTCATATTCATATTCATTATTTCCTAAATACTTTTTATTTTATTTTATATATTAATTAAAAATAAAAATATTAACTTTATTCATTTCTTCAATTTTATTTTATATTTCTTATTATTTCCAATCTTATTAATATTATTTGCTTGTTCTTTTACTTTTTTAGATTTTTAAACTCTTTTAATATATAAATTCTTATTTAATTAAACTTTAGTCTTATTAAATATCCTAAATTTTATCATTTTAATATTTTTCTTATATTTATTCTTTTATTTAATTCGAATTAAGTTTTAAATTATTAATTAATTAGTTTATGAAATTTATTAATTCTTTTAGAATTTTAATAAAATTTTAATGCCCTATTTCTTTTAAAATATGTATATTTTCATAAACAATTTTCATAAAAATATCTTTTGTATTTTCTTAATCACTTTACATATTTTTTAATTTTATTAATTTAAAAAACCTCTCAAAATCTTAAATTGAACAAAAATAAAAAATTTAAAAATCATTTTTTATGTGAGAATATACTTTTTCTTAAAAATAGTTAAATTCATGTAATATTTAATCAAATAAACTTTTTATTAATAAAAACCTTTAACTAATTAAATTTTCCTCTTATTTATTATTTGATTATTATTTAATTAGATCATTATTCTATTCATCATCAACTACTTTATTTAACATAACAAATTTATATATTTATTCCAAAAGTATATACAATTAGCTTTTTTCGCTTTGTATTTTCTTCTTCTTTCCCAATAAACTTTATGTAGAATATAATATATTACAAAATCTATATAAAGTTTCGTTCATAAAAAGAAAACATTTCGGCAAAAATTATTATATAGATGTATATTCGTTTAAATCTGATTTATTGTTTATATTCTTAATTCTTAATTTTTGGGTTGCTTCTAATTATTTTGACTCATTTTCGAAATTTTATCTTTCTTAATATTATTCTCTTATTTCTCCTTAGTAATTATTTTCCAATATTGATAATTAATTATTTAAATTTTCTTTTATTCTAATAAATCTTCCATTCTGTTACTTAAAGTTTAATTTGATAAGGTATATTTCTGTTATTATTATTTTTTTATATATATTTATATGTCATATGTCATATTTTGTTTTTTTTACATTATATGATTCTATAATTTAATTAACTATTTCATCTAACTTATTATTATATTAATCATAAAATTCTATAATTTTTTCTTTTATTGATATATCATTATTATTATCCTAAAATTAAATCTAAAGATTTAAATATATAGATTAAAATATTAATAAATAAAATTAAATAATTATACATTTTCATATTATAAAGAACTCATAGTTTGTAAATAGTTTTCTGGATTATTATTAAGAAAAATTTCAACAATTTTATTAAAATTATTAATTTAATTTATAATCTTTTATTGTCTTTTTTACTATTTATTCGAAATAAGTTATTCTCTTTAGTCTATTTAATTAATAATTTATTTATCATATTCTAATTATTAATAAACTTAATATTATTTCTACCTACAAATATAAAGCCTCTCCGTTTCTTCGAATATTTATTACCTTTAAGTCCCATAGGAATTTATAAAATCTTAGATACATTAAAGTTTATTTTTTTTGTCTAAATTAGTATATTAGCTATACTTTTAAAGTTATAAACTGCACAACTATTATTTTTTATGATAAGAGCGATTTTTTATTTCCAAAAAATTATTTTGTGTTTGAATTTTCTGAATAATTTATTCTAAATAAAATATTTCTTATTTCAAGACATTTTTTGATTTGATAATTTCCTATATAACATGTTTTAATTGCTTTTATTTTTATTATTCTTATATAGATTATTATTCAATATTTTCTAAATAAATTTATTAAGAAAACTTTCTTTTGGTTATATTTATGATATTATTTATTGACATTGAAAAATTTAAAGTTTTATTAAAATCTAATTAATTATTTGAAAAAATATTGTTTTATTAAGAATCTTAAATTTTTTGTTGAAAATCGCTAACATTTTAATTATATAATAATTATCTTTCCATTTTTTTAATTTTTTTTTTTTTTTATTAGTTAATATTTAAAATCTAATTTATTATTTTCAAATATTAAACATGTTAATTTTATAATATATTTAAATTGTTTTCTTATATTGTGGCTTCTTATTTAAATTCTTTTCTTAGTATATTATTAAAGTTTTTTATTTATCTTTTATATTCTTAATTCTGTATTTTTATTTTTGTTTATAAATTAATTAATTTATTTTTACTTTCTTTGAAATCTTATTTTATATATATGATTTTTATTTTCTAGGTGATATTATTTATTCTATATCTTAATTAAAATTAAAATTTTAAGGCGAATTTTATTTTGTTTCTTCAGAATCATATGATAAATTATTTGAACTATTGGTTAAATTCCGAAGTGAGCTTCTTTTTAAATCTATACTATTTTTTATAGTTTTTTTTTAAAATATTAATTTCTATATATATAAGTATACTGACTAATATTAAGATTTTTATTTTCTTCAATTTCTATTGAATTTTATTATCCTAATTATTTAAGAATATTTATATTTGTATCTTAATTTTTTTTATTTATTAAAATAACATTTTATTTGTTGTATTATTAATAAATGTAATTTTATAATTATTTTATTTTTATAATAAAATTTTTTTAATTACATAAAAAATAAAATTTAATTTTTAAAAATGTCATAATTAATTTTTTTGTTTTAAATACAAAAAAAAAATATTACTAAATCTAAAATAATTTTTTTTTGAGAAAAAAAAAAAAATTGATTTATAATTTTAAAGTTCATTAAAGTTTTATTTTTGAAAAAAATAAAAAAATATAAAAATATTCATATATTACATATATTTTATATTTTTTTTTTATTATTATTTCAATACTTTTTATTATTATAAACGATTTCTTTAATTTATTCAGCTATTTTTTATTTTTTTTAAAAAAACATATTATATTTTATTAACAAAAATAATAATAATAAAATAAAATACCTGTTAAAGTTTCATTTTTAACCAATTAATCAGTTAAACTTAATAATTAGAATTCATTAGCTTTTAATAATTATTTAACTCTCTAATAAGATTCCTTTTAAAAAACATAAAAAAATAAAAAATAAAAAAAACTACCTTTAAAATCTTCTATACTTCCAAATCAAGTGAATAATTGAATTAATCAGAAATTTCTATTTTATCATTAGCTGAAATAAGTGATAACTATTCATTCATAGCATAATACTTAATATACTAATAAGCAATTTCAGTAGCTTTCTGTAAATCATTTGAACATCCTGTTGTTATTTAATCATTTCCCATAAATAAATCTTCTGCAGCTCTCCCTCCCATAGCTACATCAATAAATGCGATCATGTTTTTTTTTGAATTATTATGTTTATCAGTTTCTGGTATCATCGACGTCTTTTATATAAAGATATAAGTTTTTAAAAAAATAAACAAAATTTTTATTATATATATATATATATATATATATATATATATATATATATATATATATATATATATATTTATATTTATTTATTTATTTACAAATCCTAGAGCCCCTCCTCTTGGCAAAATAGTAACTTTATGCAAAGGAACACTACCAGGAGTAAGTAAAGCTGCAATAGTATGTCCACTTTCATGTATAGCAGTACATTTTTTATCTTCTTCAGTTATAAACATATTTTTTCTTCCAACTCCCATAGCGATTCTATCTAATGCATAATCAAAATCTTTTAAATTAGCATTATCCCTATCTTTTTTTATTTTTTGAAATCAAATAAAAATAAAAATATGTATATATTATATTAATACTGTCTTTTATAGCATTCAATATAGATATATTAACCATATTTTAAATATCTGCGCCTGAAAATCCTGTTGTTTGTCTAGCTAATTCTTTAGCTTAAATATCATTTTAAATTTTTATATTTTTCAAATAATATTAAAATAACTTTTAATAAAAAAAATATTAAATAGAATAAAATATTAATAAACTTATTCTCTTCCTTTAATATCTGGTAAAGGGACATGAATAATTTTATCGAATCTTCCCGGTCTTTTAATAGCTGGATCAATTGCCTATTCAAAGTTTGTGGCTCCTATAACTATTACATTATCACTTTATTTAAATCCATCCATTTCTGCCAATATCTAATTTACAGTGTCTCTAGCATGAGAAGGGTCGTTTCCTCTTCTACTACCAGCTACTGAATCTATTTCATCTATAAAAATTATTGAAGGCGCTTTTTCCCTTGCTTTTTTGAATAATTCTCGAACCCTAGAAGCACCTACACCTACGAACATTTCATCAAACTCAGAACCACTTTTGTAAAAAAAAGAACACCCAGCCTCTCCTGCTAGAGCTCTTGCGAGTAATGTTTTACCAGTTCCAGGTTGACCTATTAAGAGTATTCCCTTAGGAAGCTTAGCTCCGGCTTGATGGTATTTTAGAGGGTTTTTTAAATAATCAACTAACTCTTCAAGTTCTTCTTTAAATTCATCGATTCCCAAAACATCGGAAAAACGAGTTTTTATTCCTTTTTCTTCTTGTAGGGCTTCAGTGTTGGTATATAAATTTAAAACTCTATTTTTTTTGGTTTTTGGTTTTTGGTTTTTGGTTTTTGTTTTTTTTGTTTTAATTTTGGTCTTACTTATTTAGTATTTCTTTACTTTTTGAGTTTTATTATTGTTTTTAATCTTCTTCAGATTTTTTTGGGTTAGAATTTTTTTATTCTTCGTCTTATTTTTTTGAAAATAATTTACGGAAATATCTCAAACTTGATTATTTTATATTCTTTTTAGTTTTTTTTTATTAGATACATATATATTTATTTTACTTCATATAAAACGACTCGATAAATCATTTCAAATAAAATACAAGCTAAAATTAAATAACCTAAATATCTATACATTTATCTATTTATTTATCTCTAAAATATACTTATATTTTATATATTATTTACCTTTTTTTAAGTAATTATTCAAAACTATCATATTCTTATTGTGCATTTTATGTATTTAGTTTTAATTTTTTTTTCGCATATTCTATTTGTAAAACAACATCACTTTTTAAGACTAAATCTCCTTCAAAGTTATTTTAATATTCTTTTTATATTTATTAAATATATATATATATATATATATATATATATATATATATATATATATATATATTAGCAATTAAATTTATTTTACTTTTTGCTATTTAATAAACTTCTATAAATTTCTGTTGTCTATTTAATTCCTATATTTTTTAAAAATACATATTTTTTAAAAATATACAATAATATATATTATACTTTCAAATAAGGATATGCAGTTTCAGAACATGGGTTTTAGTAAAATACTTTTTATAAATTAATTAAGTTTTAATTCTTTTTTATATTTTTTTGGTATTAATTATATTAATTATTTTAAATTCATTTTTTTATATTTTATACTTTTATTAATTAACTAATTTATACATAGTCTAATTTTTTAAAAATATTAAATATATCTTATTTTGAAAGTGAAGTTGGAATTTTGTGAATATGATTGTCACTATTTATAGTTTTAAAGTCTGAAAATGAATAAACTTTTTAAATTAAATTATATTTTAATAAATTTGAAAGTTTTTTTTTTTAATATTACATTTTTAAAAATGAAGATTTTTTGTTTTTTAAAGTATCCTAAATTTCTAAAGTTTCTAATTTAATATTAATTTATTAGTTTTTTCATTTAAATGTAATATTTTTATTTTTTTTAAGAATTAATAAAAAAAAATTACATTAAAAACTATGTTCATATTTTTAATTTGAAATTAAAAAATGATAAAGAAATTTCTTTTTTTTATTTAATTGAAAATAAATTTAATTTTTATTTGTATATTAAAATATCTATATATTATTTTTTTATTAAAAAAAGTAAATATTAAATTTTTATTTTTATTTTTTTTTTAATAATTTAAAATTTAATTTTATTAAAAAATAAAAACAAATAAATTTATATTCACATAAAATAAGTTTTATATTAATTTTTTTTTTTAAATAAACAAAAAAAATAACTTATATAAAGTTATAACAAATAAATAAATAAAAAATGTCGCATTAAAACTTAGATTAAAACAACAATTCTGCTTAAAATTAATCATAAAATAATAATCGAAGTTAAATGAGCCAAAATTAATCAATATTAAGAAAGGAATATGTAGTACCAGAAGTAGAGGAAATTAATCCCGCTTTGTTAACACCAAAATCAAAAGAAGCCTGTTTTAGGATTGCAATAAAACCAGATGATTTAAGAAAAAAAACAATTAAGAAATTATTAATTTAATTAAATCGAAAGACAGTTCTATTCCAATTAATTAAGATACTATAAATATGTTTCAATCTCATTTAGAGGAAAGAAGAGCAAGAAAAATTGCTGAGGTTTATTTAAAATTATTTTATTATTTTAATAAAAATAAATAGATGAGAGAAGAAAGAAAATAAGTAGATGAAGATGAGAAAAATGGACTTTGGAACAGTTAATAGGGTTCTATTATGTTTAAATAATCATAGAATGTATAAAATTTATATTTTTTTTTTTTTTTTTTTTAATTAATAAAATGTAGAGCTAAGTAAATGATTCATTATAGCAGGGATCTTAAATGGGCTAAATTAGTTTAGTGGAAAAAGAAAAAAGAATGCTTGAAAAAATGAAAAGAAGATAAGTTTTTTATTTTTAAAATATATATTTATTTATATATGCTATTTATAGTAATAAGATCTAGATAAAATGATGGAATATGAAAAAAAAATGGAAGAAATTAGATTCTAAAATGAAATTAAAATGCATTAATTGGCAGAAAGAGAATAAAAAAGAATTTAAGAAATTAATTAAAAAAATAAGAAGTTTTTTTTTTTTAAAATAAAAAATAAAAATTATTTTATTTATAAAAAAGACTGATAAAAAAAGATTTTAATAAGAAGAAGAAAGAAGAAAAAAAGAATAGTAAGAAGAATTAGAAAATAAAAAGAAATAATAAATAGCTTATGAAAAAGAATAAGAAAGAATAAAATAATAATAATAAAAAGAAAGGGAAAAATAAAAAGAATTAAGACAAAAAGAAAAAGAAACTATCGAAAAATAAGAAAAAATGAGATAATAAACAGAATAAATTTTATATTAATAACAACAAATGTTAGATGAAAAAAGAAAAAAGATGGAAGAATTAGAATTTAAAAGAATTGAATAAATGAAGACTTAAACTGAAGAAAGAAAGAAAATAGCTAGAGAATAGAAATTATTACATGAATAACATTTAGAAAAATGCAAAAAAGCAAACGATGATAAATTAATATAAAAATAACAAGTAAACTCTATTATTTTAATATTATTTATATTTTTTAAAATTAGGAATATTTAAAGAAATAAGAATAATCAGAAATGTATTTTATTTTACTTAAATTAATACAAATAAATTATATTTTAAAATAAAAAGAAAAAGAAGTTAATTTGAAAAATTAAAAATAAACTAGTTATAATAATAAAAATTATAAGCTGTTTAAAAGCAATAAAAAATTCAAACTATATTAGTAATAATTTATATTTATTTTTATAAAATTAAAAATATAAAAAACTTTAGTAATCAAATGAATAAAAATAAGAAAAAAAATTAAAATAATATAATGATAAATTAACAGAATAAGAAAAACGAAAATAAGAGATTGAACATGTTTTACAAAAGTAATAATAGGAGAAAAAATAGAACTTTATGGATAAAGAAATAAAGATATAAACTGTAATTTTTTATTTTTTTAAAAATAAATAAAATATAAAAATTAAATATATAATAATAAAAGGCATTAAAAAATAATGAAACTTTAGTAGAATAAAAAAAAATATTTTATTAAAAAGATTTGCTGAAACAGATGGAAAAGTTCAAAAGGCAAATCAAAGAAAATAATAAGAAATATTAGAGAAGCATACATTACATATAATAAAAGAGTTAGATAAGGAAGAAAATATAAAAAGAATGGAATAATTATAAGAATTAAAAAAATAAAAATTATTGAGCAAGATTGAAAAAGATATATTAAAATGTTAAATTATAGAGTAAGTTTAATTTTAATTATTTATATTTATATATTATTTATCACAAAAGATAAGAGAGATAAAAAATTATAAGACTAACTTAATAAATTAAAATGATGATGGATGAAAAAAAAACTCAACAATTAAAAGAATTTGAGAAATAGAGCAAAAAGCAAATGAAATAATTATAAAATAATTAATGTAAATAAAATAATAAATTTTTTGTTTTATTTAAACTATTTTATAAACAGCATAAACAAATATTGATATGAATATGAATAATAATATTAATAATAATAATAATATTAATAATAATATTAGTAATAATAATATAAATGAATCAAGTTGATAATTATTAAATGAATAAAAAAATAATAAAATATATGATAAAATTATATATATATATATTTATATTTTATAAAAAAATTATTTTTTTGAATTTTCGAATTTTATTAAATTCCGTTAATAAAATTTCATATATTTACAATTTTATAAATAATGTCATATTCAAAATAATATCGTATATTAAATCATTATTACTAATAAAATTTAATAATAAATATTATTAAAAAATATTAATATATAATAATTAAATATTAAGTATTAATTTTTATAATAATTAAAATAAAATAAATTTATTAATCTATAAAGCTTAAAAATATAATAAATTATTGATATGATTAATTAAATTAATTACTATATACTTTATTTTTTAATAAATTATTAAATTTTTTTTATTTATATATTATATAATTTTTTTATCAATTAAAATAATTCATTTTTTAAAAATTTTAAATAGAAAAGTATTTAATTTAATTTTAAATATAAAAATTTATATATAAAACCTAGATAATGTTAAAATTTTATTTATTTTAAAATATATTGAAAAATAATATTTTTATAAAAATTATAATCAAATAAGATATAAGCTTTTATATAAGTTTTTACTTAAAATCAATTAATAATTATAAAATAAATACAAATATTATTAAACCCTTACATATTTTGATTGTTATACAAATAGAAAATTATTTTATTATTAAATTTATTAAAAATCATTATGGAAAGCAATCTTAGCTATATTTTTATTTATATTTTAATTTAAAAATAATCAGTGAGCAGTGGCTGATTTTAAATAATAATTAATATTCATTTTATAATATTAATATAAATTATAAAAATATTATGTAAAAATAAACCATTATATCTTTATTTACAATATCTTCATAAATTTTATTTATATTTTAAAAAAAGTATAGCGAAATAAATTATATATTACATATATAAGATTTTAAAAATCTCAAAAGTATTATAGACATATTATATTTAAATTTTTTAACTTTTTAACTTCGAAAAAAAAAGTTTAATAGAATTTTATTGAAATTTTGTTTTCAAATAACATGTATAAATAGAATAAATTCTATTTTTAAATTAATATTAAAAAACTAATAAATGAAAAATAATATATAAAAATATATATATATAAAATATATTTTTAAAAACTTATAAAATGTATATTCCTATCATAAATCTAATATTATATTTTTATTTTTATTTTTATGTTTTTTATTTTTATTTTATAATTATTTATATTTATATTTTTTTATTTTTATTTAAATATTTTAAAATGAATATAAATAAAAATTAAAATTTGAATATTGTTTAAAAGTATTTTATTTAATAGTTTTAATAAGCTAATTTTATAAAATTCTAAAATAGTAAAAATAAAATAATAAAAAAAAATTAGTTAAATTTACTATTTTTTGGTTATTTAATTTTTTTAATTCCATTATTTTCGTTCATTTTAGGGAAATTTTTAAAATTTTAATAATATAATTTATAAAATAAAGAAAAAAAAATAAAAATAGTAAAAAAATAAGATATAATTAATATTTTATAAATATATATTTATATATATATATTTATTTATACATAAATTTTAATAATTAAAAGGATCAGCAAGAAAAAAAAAAAATTAGAGAAAAAAAAAAATATTTATTGCATATGAAAACAAGTCATAAATTATTATAAATCTTTAAAAATTATCTAAAGGAGAATATCGTGTTGTAGATATAGATAAAGGTATTTCTTATATTTAAAATATATTAAACAAAAATTTTAAATATTTAAAAAAAAAAAATAAAAAAAAACACATAAAAAAATAAAAAAATAAAACAAAAAATACTAAAAAATCATAATATATATTTATATACATCTAGATGATAATATCTCTAATTAACATAGTAGAAAATTCACAAGATAATAAATTACTAAGCCTTTCAATAATAATCCTTCTAATTAAAAATCCCTTCAAATTAATTAATAAGTACATCTTTCAAATAGTAATATAAGAAATAAATAGACTATGGAAGTACTTAGAAAACAAAGTTTAAATAATTAAAATTAAAATTTGATTTCTAAAAACAATGCAATAAGGTAAAAAAAAATGCTTTTTAATTTTATTTTGTTCAATTATCTATAGCAATCTTAGTTAAATTATTAAAAAAATGAAGACAATGATAAGGAAATATTCCCATATGTATCTTTTGCAATAGAAAAATAATAATAAAATAATTAATTATATGATACTGAGCAATAATTATCTTTATAATAAAAGCCTTTAAAAAAAATGTAAATTGTACTTCCATCATGTGCACATTGGTAATAAAAAAACAATTAAAAAAAAATAAAAAATTAAAAAAATTAAAAAAAAAAAAAAAAATCAAATAAAAAATAGGTTTGATCTTGATTAAATTAATCAAATTGAAAAGGAAAGTCTTAGTGAGTTCTTCTGTGGAAAGCCTTCCAAAACTTAAGAAATATATAAAAAATATAGGAATTATATAGTGCAAACATATAGAGAAAATCCAAGAAATTATTTATCCGCAACTGCTTGTAGGAAAAATTTAATAGGAGATGTATGCTCAATTATAAGGATACATGGATTTTTAGAATATTGGGGAATTATTAACTTTAATTGTGATACATAAACATTACCGAAACATTTAGCAGAACAAATTCACTTTTCAAAAGATTTAAAATAATCTTAAAATATATGTAAATTAAAATAACGTATTTTAATATATTCTTTATTTTTTTTAAATAGAAAGAATTGATTTATTAGATTAAGATAGATATTTGTTTTAGGATAATGATGAAGGAAACATTATATTTTAATGTGTAAAAACACTTTCTAAGAATATGAGGTATTTATATAGATTTTTTTTGTTATATATATAATTAATCATAATATTTAAAAATAGCTTTAAAAAAAAAATAGGCCTATTTGTGATTTTTGTGGAGTTATTTGTGGATTAATATGGCATGAGGAAAAATAAATGATAGAAAGTTAATAAGAAAATATAATTTTATGTAATTAATGCTTTTATGAAGGAAATTATCCAAATTTTTTAAGTGATAAAGATTTTAAAAAAAAAAATTTAATAAATAAAATAAATGAATTTGAGTAATAAAAAAATAATGATTTTTAATTAAATGAAAATGAGAAAAATAAAATAATATAATTAATTGAAAGTAATAAGGATAATTGGGAAAAAACAATAAAAGAACTATCTGAAAGTAAAAATAAGAATTAAATTTTCATTTATTTTGTTAAAATACCTTTGTAAAATGTATTTATGTAAGCTAAGATTATAAAAAATGAAGAAAAAAAAATATAATAATAAGTTAATGGAGGTAATTAAATTATTGAAAATAGAAATAACGAAAATTAATAAATTTAATTAAATGAAAAAAAATAAAATAAAATTATTTAACATGTAAATATATATATTTCTTTTATAAAATATATATATATAAATAAAATAAAAAATAGATTGAAATATTTAAAGAATTAATAGAAAAAATATAAAAGAAATAAAAAATAAACTTAAATGAATAGAAAATAAAAGATGAAGATTATTAAAAAATTTAAGATTAATAAAAAATTAAAATTAAATAATAAAATGAATAAAAAACTTCAAATATTAAAAAAATATTGGAATATTAATTAGTATCAATAGATAATAAATTAGATTATTTAGAATAATATGAAAATATTATATACAGAGAAAGAAATTAAATAGAAATAACAAAGAATTGGCATAGTGCTGAAATAGTAAATTAGGCTTATAGAAAATATGAGTTTAATAAAGAATTAAAAAGATATTATCATGAATAAATGAGAAAAAATATGTAATAATAATAATTTTTGTACTAAATGTAATAATAAAAACTATAATAATAAAGAGAAATGTAAAAATAATTACTTTAATAATAAAAGGAAGATTAATAATAAAAATAATAAGATTAATAAATTTAATAATAAGATTAAATATAAGTAAAATAATTATAGATTTCAGTTATTATGTAAGATTCCTAAAATTAAAATTCAATCATTTAAAATTAATTATAAAACAATATTGAATAAAATAACTCTAATATATAAATTTAAGATAATAATTCCCAATTTAATTAAAATGATGATGATATAAAACCAAATACACAAGAAAATATATAAGAATGCTAAAAATAAATAATTTAATAAAATAAAGAATTTTAATTCTTAGAAAAAACAAAAGATCAGTAAGAATAAAATCAAAAAGAATAAAATGAATAAGAAAATCAAATATAAAATGAATAATAATAAAATAATATAACTTAAGGAAATGAAGACAAATAAATAAAAAGATAACATTAGATTACTGAAAATATTTTATAAGAAATTACAGTATAAGATCAGTAAAATGAAATTTAAAATAAATTAAATTATGAACAAATACAATAAAATAGTGAATGCATGCAATAAAATCATTAGAAAGTTTAAACAGATGAAAATTAAGAATAAAAAATGGATATTGAACATTAAAATAATTAATAGGATGTATAAAATAATAAAAATTAGCAATAAAATAACTTTGAAAACAATTAATAATAAAATGAAACGATAGAATAAATTGAATAGAAGAAATTTAATAATTCAGAAGCAGAAAAAATTTATAAATACTAATAATAAGAAAAAAATATTTATTAGATTTAAAAATAATAACTAATTAATTAAATGAATAGTTTATAATAAAACCAAATGTATTAAAAAGCTAAAGAAGTGGAAAATTTTGAATAATGATATTATTATATAAATAAAAGAAGGCTTTATTTAATGAAAATATTCATTTTTTTATAAAAATAAAATTTTTGTATAGTTATATGTTTAGTTTATCATATTATTAATAAATAATATTTTATGTTAAAAATATATAAATTTTAAAAATATTAGTTAATATTTTATAGAATTGTTAATATATTCTTTATATTTAATATATACATAAAATAAAAATAAAAATAAAAATGTTTTTAATAAAAACATATAAATAGATTATAATATAAATTAAATTTATTAAAATATCTAATTTTTTTAAAAACTAAATTAAATTTTATGATATAATTTTCTTATTAAAACATAATCAGATGATTTTATAAAAAACTTAAAGAATATATTTAATTAAAATAAAAATATTTAGTTACAAAAGAGAAATAATTAATGTTTTTAATTTAAAAGAAAATGAGTTTAAGAAAAATAAAATTTATGTATCAAATAATTATATAATAAGTTTGTATAATACTGATTATAATTAATATTATACATGTATTAATAATATCTATAAAAAAAAAATAGTTATAAATAATGATTATTTACATATTAATACTTTAAATTAAAATAAAAATAATAGTTATTAAAGAAAATTTAGATAAATATTAATAATTTCAAATAATACTAAAAATATATTTAAAATTAATTTACCTATACTTTTTTTAAAATAAAACCTTTAAAAATTTATTGAAGTTAATAAAATTGTTAATAAGGCATTAAAAAAATAATACATTTTAAAAATAATATTTATAATTATATATTTATTTAAATTTTTTGTTATAATAAACTTTTTAATATTATATTTTATTCTTAAATATATATAGTTCTTTTTTAATATTTATTAAAATTAATATATATTAAAGCAAATAAAAAATATGTAATAATTACTTATATAAAAAGGAAGTAAATTTCCTGGTTATATTAGAGCTGCAAATCTTATTATAGGGTTAATTTTATATTTATAAAATAATAAATGACATTAAAAAATATATATTTAGAGGGAGTTCATTATTAATAGGAGTTTTTAATGTTATTACATTAAAAATATTTATAAATTTATTTACATTTTAAATAATACAAATATTTTTCACCTTTTTTTATACTGTTTTTGGACTTATTTTAGTAGCGTCTGAACTAAATCCTGATTTTGTAAAACGATATTTTAGTATATTTTAATCGTATATGGGATTAGGATGTTTATACATAATGTTATTATTTTTTTCGATTAAAAATTATACTTTTTTTATTTTTTATTAAATAGCGTTTCTATAATTAGTTTTTTAAATTTAGATCATTCTACTAGTAAATTGTTTGCTTGGGTTTATGGTGGTGTTTTGGTTGTTTTAGGAATTTATTACGTTGTTTATCATTTTATTGTAATATTGATATATAATCGCTTTTTATTTTTTATATTATTTATTATTTATAATTAATTTTTTTCAATAAAAAAAGAAACCATAAGAAATTAAACCTGATAAATAAGCACATTTCCTCTGTTGTTGAAGATAAATAATATTTTATATTTTTAAAATTATTATTTAATATATGTATTTTTACTTTAAAATTTTAAATTAATGTTTATTATCATATATTTAAATGAAAAAAAAAAGTTAAGAAACAATTATGAAATTGAATAAAAAATTAATTCAATAAATATTTATATATAGTAAAAAAATTAAATCTTAAATTATTTAATTAACAAAAAATATTTATTTATAAAATTATTTTTTTAACAAATAAATAAATATCAAATTTTAAATTAATTAAAAAAAATAAAAATTACGAATATCTTAAAAATTATTATTCTTAAAAAATAGAAAAAGACATAAATATGTTCTAAAATATATAAATGATATTTATAAGATAATCCATAATATTATTCAATATATTATATCATTATATCAATTTTTTTCATATTATATTATTAATTTAAAAAAATATTTATTTATATTTGTTTATTGTTTTAACTATTTAAAATATTTTTTACTTTTTATATTAAATAAATGATAAACTATTTTTATTTTATATATTTTATTTCTATTTATCTAAGATTCTTCTTGTTCTTTTAACTATGTACCGGAATTAAGATCTTAAAAATATTTTTTTTTAAATAAAACAATTAAAATTTAGAATATCAATAGTTTTTATTACTGAAAAACATATTTATATATATATTTAAATTATATAAAATCTTGAGTGAAATAATACTATATGTTTTTAAAAAAGTGTTAACCTTAATTATTTAAATATAAATATATGCATATTATTATTTTTTTATATATAATTGATTAAATAATTGGAATTTTAGAAATTATTAAAAATTTAGGTTTAATTTTGGGTTAAACTTTGTTTAATTTTTTTTAATTAAAAAAAATAAAAGAGTTAAAGTTATTAATTTGCATTTATTTATTTGAGTTTTTTTAATTATAATATTTTAAATTATCACCTTTATTTTATAATTAATTATATATAAAATTTAGGAAGGAGCGTCGAAAGTTTATTAAATGTGTATTTTTTTGGGATTTCTACTTTTATTAATTTAGTTTATTTGTCTTATTATAACCTCTTTACTTAATTTATATATTTAATTTTATAATCAGAAGCAAGAATTTTAACTTAATTTTATTATTTAGAATTTTTTTTTTTTTTAAGTATTTTTTTATTGTACTTTTGATATTTTTTTTTATATATTTGTTAATGAAATTTATTTTAATTATTATGTTTTTTATATTAGTAGAATTTTTGTATGATTAAGTTGAGAAATAATAAATATTTATTTGTCTTTTAGATAAAATATAGCTTTTATTCATTTATTTGGTAAAAAGGTAATTATTAAAGTTTATTTAATAAATAAAATAATTTTTTTAAAAAAAATGCAAATTATAAAATATATTTTTTATTTTTTGTATTTATTATATTTATTGTAATAATATTTATAAATATAATTGATCTAAATTCTATAATATAATTTGATAATATATCTTTACTTGATTATAAAAAATAAAAATAATTTAATTAAATTAGAATTTAAATATAATTATATATAATAATAAATATTTTATATAATAAATATCTATTTTTTATTTTAATTTAAATTTATATTATTATTAAATAATATTTATATATTTTTTTTTATTTAAATAATATATATATATTTTATATTATATATTTTTTTAGAAAAGAAATATATTTTTATTAAATAATAAAAAATAAAAATAGAATAATTAGAATACTTTTAAAATATAAATAAAAATATTATAAATTAAAAATAATAAACTTATTTTAAGAAGATATTTTTAATTTATAAAGATATAAAATTTATTATATATTAAATAAAAAAAATATTTTAATAATATTCGTACTAAATAATAAAAAAAATGAAAAAATTATAAACGAATTCATTAAATCTAATTTGAAATAGAATATTAAATATAATTACAAATATATTTATAATAATTTTTATTTAACAACAAAAAAAATAAACATAAATATCTTTTTGTTTTAAAATCATAAATTAATTAATATGATATAAATTATTAATTAAAAAAATATAATATTTAATATAAAAATTTAAATAAAATTATTTCTTAAAAAATTTTGCAAAATATATTATTTTTATATATTTATCTGGAAAATAAATATATATAAAAATTATTTATTTTAATAAAAAGGATAAATTAAAAATATAATAAATATTATAGATATAAAAACTTTTTTAATATAAAAAGATATTAAAAAACATTAATTTTTATATCATTAACATTTTTAATTTATTTTCATATTTATGTCAATCTATCAGGATTGTTAATTTATTTTTTATAAATAAAAAAATAGCAATTATATTATTTTAAATATATAAAATTTTCGAATAATGTTAGTTAATTTTTTCTTTTTATAAAAAATAGCATTTTGAAAAATTATTAGGTTTGTTCGAAATTTCTTTTAAAAAGATAAATTATAAATAATAATTTTTATTTATATATTTTTCGTTAAATAAATTTTAGATATTATTAAAAAATATTAAATAAAATTTTT